AAGTCAGAATTCCCAATCTGAATATTTGTTTCAGGACAGTGACGTGCTAATGTCACAGGGATGGCATCGTGGTACCACAACGAACATTTCCAGAATATCGGGGAGATTTGTTTCAGGAATGGTATCTAACCAAATTCCTGCAGGGTTCTTAAAGAGTCAGACTACCCTAACGAATAAAGAAGGATGGATCTTGGTGGGCTAAGTCACCCACTGACATCTCTCATTTCTCTGATACCCTAATGATAGCATGTAGTTTTAACCCATTCCTACCTGCAGTCTGTATGTTAACGTATCTAGCATGATGCCTCAATAATGGTTACGATAGTAAAGATATTTCTTTGGCAGCTACCAGCCGACACTTTGCTAAGTTGGTAGCCGTCAGACCCCAGCTTTCTCAGACGGCTCTGGTCCCCTCTACTCAGACAACATTTAGTTGTTCCCAATTGGGATCACTATCTTTGCTATGACATAGTGATTACATACAAGCTAAAGGCTCCATTGAGGAAAAATAAATGCCTTCACCTTGCGGATGTCAATGCAGCCTGTAGATGCATTTGTTGGATACAATTATAGTTAATACTTGCTGAGGGTTATACAGAATAAAGTAAAAACTGTCCACTTGTCAGCCTATAATAAACAGAACAGGTTTTTATTTAAATAGTGTACCAAATGACTTCTATTAACCTAAATGTAAGATTTATTTAGGTAGGCAAGTTGTCAGCGTTATTCATGTTAATCAAGGCTGCTTAATTTTGAACCGTGCAAGAAAAAAAATCATGCTGCAGCTCTCTGCAATATAAAAAAGAAAAAAAAGGATTGCTGTGTAAATTACATTGCGCCAGCCCAACAAATACAGCAACTGGCTGCAGACGTACAGGCTATCTAGAATCTGCTCCAGCCAGACACCTAAGCCCCAAGTCACATTTTTTTTTCTTTGTTGCTGAAATGCAAAAAGCCTTATTGCCGCCCGTGGGTGTAATTATAGCGTGACCCATGATTAAGCCCAATGGGTGAGTCAGTGGGTGCATTCATGTCCAATAAGGGAAGAGATGTCAGTCTTACATATCTGGTATTAATAAAGCATATTGCTATTCAACAAAAATACAGCAGCGTGTGGATCAGGCGTTGGAATACCAGGAGACATAAGTGAAGGTTTGGGACTGAGCTGTACACACCTCCCATTTTTATTCCAAGAAATATTAGAAAGCGGTAGTTTGTAGAACTTGCTAGTTGGTTTGCATTAGTATTATGTTTTGGGTGGATTGGCCATGTCACACTCAGTGATTTCCAGTTGGCTGTGGTTTAATACAGATATCATTTAAAATAAAGGGAATCATATTAGAACTACTTGTATGTTTGGGCGATGAATCCAAGGTCACATCTTCTAAATCCAGGTAACGCAAAGTTTGTCTTTCTTACATTATTGCTGCTATGTTTAAACCTTGTTTACAAAATACTTAGATGATGACAAGGGACCAGATTGTAGATTTTGTTCTTTGTAACCCCTGAAATAATCTTGTTGCGCTTTTAAGTAGAAAAGTACTTGATTTTTTATGTTTTCTGATTTCTCTCCATGCTTATTTTATGAGAAGTAAAATTGTTTCTTAATACTACAGATAAAGAATTTGTCTTGTGTATTCTTTATTTGTATTCCTCATGGAGAAGATGTTGTTGTCAGTACAGACTTTGTATGAGATGACAGCTATTCGAAACCAGTTCCGGGCAAAGTTCCTGTGTGACAGGACTGCAAGGCTCCATTTACATCTAGCCGCCATGGTGTGTTGCTTTAATGCACTTTTGTTTTTACTTTTAGGGCAGCCTATTTCAATGAATAGACTGGCATTGTGTCAAACCACCAAGAAAAGAAAAACATGCTCTTTCACAGTGCCTTAGTGTGTTGGAGGTGTCATTCAATTTAAATAGCACCCCAAACACTTCATTCAAAAAGGAAGGGTGCTACAACTCGCAATTCCAAGTAATGTGCGTTGCAGTAACACTGCATTAGAAAAAGGTGTGAATGCAGCCCAATGGAACATTACACTCAAAAATGAATGTTTATTCATCTAAAAGAGCTACATGGAGGTGTGCTGCTTTATTAAAAGATATTTAATTCAAATCAAGCTGATCATTGAGAGCTAAAGTGTTGCATTTGTTCTACAAGAAAACCTACGTGCGACAGAGCATTCTGCGACAGAGCATTCTGCGACAGAGCATTCTGCGACAGAGCATTCTGCGACAGAGCATTCTGCGACAGAGCATTCTGCGACAGAGCATTCTGCGACAGAGCATTCTGCGACAGAGCATTCTGCGACAGAGCATTCTGCGACAGAGCATTCTGCGACAGAGCATTCTGCGACAGAGCATTCTGCGACAGAGCATTCTGCGACAGAGCATTCTGCGACAGAGCATTCTGCGACAGAGCATTCTGCGACAGAGCATTCTGCGACAGAGCATTCTGCGACAGAGCATTCTGCGACAGAGCATTCTGCATTGATTCAAAGCTGGGCCCATTGGCGCAGTATCAGAGCCTGTCAGCTATCATTTATGGATAGTCAGCTATGGCGACTTATAGATTTTTCTAGTATGAAAATATACTGTATAGTGCAGTCCTGATTTCCAGGTTATTGTTGTAATAAAAAGTTAATTGAGGGAATCAACATGGACCAAAAGGAAGCACTTCACATGCCAGCTGCTTCAACATGTGTTGGCCTTTTCTAACCAACTACATGCTTGTAGCAGGCCAGTGATACACTAAGTAGGAAAGCAAGCATAACAGCCCCTGTGCATGCACCTTCAGGTGTCTTTAAAGCTACACTCCGGGCAAATTATAATTTACACACCACACTGAGTGCTGCCACCCTCCACACAACACCCAATGTTTTAATGATACTGTACACAAAGTATAAAAATCTTACCCTGCAGCATGCGGTCTCCTGCACACAACGACTCCGCGTCCAGGCACCGAAGATAGAGAAATATGACCCCGAGCTATACAGCCCCCCAGTTGCATCACACACCCCTTTTCACTATTGTCCAATCACAAAAAGTCTTGGATTACTTGAGTACCAGACATTTTGTGATTGGAGGATGAGGTGATTTCACACACTCATTCTCCTCCAATCAGAATGTCTTGTATTCTTTAAAAGAGAAAATATACATATAAGCCCTTTTGTAATTGGACGATAGTGAAGAGCGGCAAGTAATGCGACTGGAGCCGTTGTCCAGCTTGGATCACATCTATCTCTATTCATGAACAAAACAAACAAATATCAGAATCCTTCATTAGCGCTTATGAGCGTTGGAGGATGAATCCTCCACTGTTTCCTTTGTAATACCTAAAACAGAGCCTGCAGCTGATTGGCTTTAAGCTTCCTTTGACTGAGAATTTTTCCAACCTGCTCCTTTCAGCTGATTGAGGGGTACAGACAGCGGCACCTACACTGCGAATTTCAGCCGGTTAGTTAGAAACCGGCTGAAATCGGATACGTGTATACCCGGCTTTTTTAATTTGCTTGCTGCATTGTTTTACTCAATAAGTCCTATTGTAGATACCAAGTAACATGGCACTAGATCAACAAATATCTGACATAAGCAACATCAAGGGTGTAGACAAAATGTTTCTACAGATATCCAGGAGTTTGTCTTTCACAACTAAACAATGAAAAAAAGAAAGTAGTTCTACTAAAGTGCAGCAACAGGTAGGGATCAGATGAATAGTTTTCATTATTACACTGCGCTGCACATCTCCATAGAAGCTAGGCCAGCACCACACCGTGCTTCTTCCGGCTAACAACTGTCCTTCAATAAAAGAAATGCACAACACTCACAAACTGCAATTCAGTTCAGGTACAGATGTCCTCTCCTTTCAATGGCAGGCCAGTCAGTCACTAGTTTCTTTATACTTTCAGAGTCTTAAAGTGTCAACGGCATCTAATGGGAATTACCACATTTTACCTGTAGTCATGGCACACACTATATACAGGTACCATATAACATCCTTCCTGGTTCAGAATCTTCTAGGACATACCTAGCTAAAAAGGTAGATACAAGTACCTCAGGGGACCTGCTTTCACAACACCTTAAAAAAAACTTTGAGGAGCAGTCTAATAACGTTACGGAAAACATATTACAGGGTTATTCAGAAAAGGGTGAAGAGTTTGGAGAAGGCAGGAGAAGTGAACACCTAGGACAACATATCTAAACTGGAATAATTCTCCCATTCAGCTCACTTTCCAGTTCAGTTATGTTGTCCTAGATTGGAGACGGCAGGAGAAGTGGACAAACTTCACCCTTTGCTAGCACTTCCTTCTCTAGTAATACTACCCGTTATTGAACTGTAAGCTTGGTGAACGCAGGTTCTATATAGGCGGATTGTCGTCAACTGAAATAAGTTGAACTCTTGCTCCAGGTCAGCCTGTATTTCCACCCCTAAGATGTATGCTGGTCAATTTCTGTCAGCAGGCACGTGTAAGTTGTAGGAAGAATGATTACAATGAAATGGCTGAAAATCTTCATTTATTTCAATATGGAAATACAAAGCTCTTACATCTTTCATCTCATTATTGGCGCTTTGTCCAGTATAAAATCACATGTCCAACCACATTTATGTAGCCTGCTCAATCAAACTTGTCACATCATGACTGGGCACTATGGTATCTTTGTTTCCTTCCCAAATACCAGTCATGAACATAAGAATAATCGCTATCATCCGTCATATCTCATGAATGCAGACTTAAAGTCCCACCATCCTACCTGTTGTGTTATACACCAACTGGAGTGTCAGGACATTGCTGTCTCACCAAAGCCTGCCACGGATGTGTCCTGAGAGGACTGTTAATGCACAGGAGCCATTATTAATAAATCATAAGTAAACAGAGGTAATGCATTAGACAATAGGCACTCAAACCTGCATAATATCAGTGCACAAACATAGCCAGATCATCATATACCATAGGGTTACTGTAAGTCAGGAATTAACCTCTTCTTCCTTCCTTGGAAAGCTCACAGCATCAAACATTGGACATCATCCTAATAGACAAGAATGGAATGTTTACTCAGTCTACAGATTGGATGATGGAGCAAATTTCAGTGCCATGTCTTGTAGAGTCTGGAGAAGTTTCTCTTCATCGGAGGAGGAGGAGTGTGTGCTGGCCAGGGGTAAATGGGTAGAAACAGGTTTCCGATCTAAAAGAAAACATACAGTATTGAGCGCTACAGCTGATCTTTTATCCCATTCTTTATGTTCTCTATATGTAAAGTATGACATACACCATCATGCAAATGTTCTTTCTGCAGTTCTCTTGTAGACTGAGGCGACTGTGAAGGTAAATGATGGGTCAGGCTGACTGCATGAGTACCAGATATGGATGCAAAAGTAGAAAGTATACCGTGTGCTGGGACAATTCAATATTAAAGTAACTGTAAATCCCAACCAAAGGACATTCAGTTTGGTACAGCACTGCGCATTATAAATAGACATTTTTTGCTCTTTTTTTCCCCCCATTCTCTGTTGCATCTCAGTACTGTTGATGTCCTGCAGACACTTCCCATCTATGGCTGATGGTGACACCCAGACACTGTCTAGTGCCGACAGGTTTCAAAACAGCCACTTGTAGTCTCCATTGGAAACCTGTGTGAGGGCTTGACACAAACAAAACTGGGGGACAAAGCATATTGTCAATATATAACTGGAACTGCCTGAACAAGGACCTCCATGTCAGAGTCACCAGTTATCTTATTAAAAGCTGAACATTTAAAAATAATTCTTGAAATTGACATGTTAAAGTTGAACTCTGGGCACAGAAATGTTAAATCTATTCAATAGCCACAAAAGATATAAATCCATCTGGTTTGCACCTGATGCCTGTCCAAACCCAGTTATTAAAAGTAGCAGTGACATCACTGTGCTGTACATAGCTTGTGCTTTGAGCAGAGCTGCGGGAGGGGTCCAACAGGCCCAATCCACTACAGGCTTCCAGCAGAAAATAACAGGAAGGAGCGAAGACCAGACCAGTTTCCCTGCACAAGGAGAGAGTTAGCAGCAGTGACCGGTCTTTATTACAGGAAGTTCCTGCACAGAGGTAAAGTCTCACTCTGGATTACTGCACAGATCTGGACTCAAAGCAAGCCAATATTCCAGTAAGAATACACGTGCCTTTTGTATTTGGACAATGTTTGCCTATACCAGAGTTTGGCTTTAAGGTTTATGACATTTTAGTGACCTGGTTTACATCTTCTTTAAGTCTCAACAGAGGTTTCTGAGCCATGTATCCCACCACCCGTCGCAGTTCCTGAGATTTGGAGTTACTATAAGTTACAATTCCACATCCCCCAAACCAACCAATAATTGACTTTAAAACTGACCTGAGGATAGAGGGAGTAGAGCAATGATGTGCAGATTCAGGTTCTGCCGCTCAGTAATAACACTAAATATGTTCTAAGGTTCTGCAATGAAAGTGAAGATTATACCTTGGAAGAAGAGTCCACTTGGATGTTTGACTGTGGACGGTGATAAAGCGAGCCACGCCACCGTGTCTGCTCCTTGTTCTTCAGTCCGTAATCTGTTCTTCATTTTCTCATGGAAGTCCGGCATGGATGACCTTACAGCTTCACAGAAAAGTCAGATAAAGCTCGACTTAAAAGGACAGACATGCACAGACAAGAACAGTGATTTCATGTATGACTGCGGCCATATTGGTGACAGAAATAGATGGGGGCTTATATACACCAATCAGACATAACATTATGACCTCCGAGAGGCGAGATGAATATAGATTACCTTGTTACAATGGTGCTTGGAAGTGGGGGGATATATTAGGCAACAAGTGAACAAGGCAAGTGAACAAGGCAAGTTTAAGGATTTGAGCAACTTTGACCAGAGCCAAATTGTGATGACTAGACTGGGTCAGAGCGAGGAAGGAAAACCAGTGAACCAAATTGCTAAAAAAAGTTAATGCTGGTTCCAGTAGAAAGGTGTCTGAGCACACAATGCACTGCATTTTGTGTATGGGGCTGTATAGCTCCAGACCAGTCAAGGTGCCCATGCTGACCCGTATCCACCGCCAAAAAGGCCTACAATGGACACGTGAGCATTGGAAGAACGTGGCCTGGTCTGATGAATCACATTTTCTTTTACATCATGTGGCTGGCCGGATGCATGTGTGTCAGTTACCTGGGCAAGAGTTGGCACCAGGATTCACTATGGGAAGAAGGCAATCTTGACAGCGGCAGTGTAATGCTTTGGGCAATGTTCTGCTAGGAAACCTTGGGTCCTGCCATTCATGTGGATGTTACACTGACACTTACCAAAACATTGTTGCTGATCAAGTACACCCCCTTCATGGAAAGGGTATTCTTTGGCCTCTTTCAGCAGGATAACGCACCCTGTCACACTGCAAAAAATGGTTCAAGAATGGTTTGAGGAACACAACGAGTTTGAGGTGTTGACTTGGCCTCCAAATTCTCCAGATCTCAATCCAGTCGAGCATCTGTGGGATGTGCTGGAAAAACAAGTCCGATCCTTAGAGGCCCCACCTCACAAATTACAGGGCTGAAAGGATCTGCTACTGAAGACTTAGTGCCAGATACCACAGCATACCTTCAGAGGTCTAGTGGAGTCCATGCGTTAACAGATCAGGGCTGTTTTGGCAGCAAAAGGGGGTCATAATGTTATGGCTGATCAGAGTGTATATATACGCACGTCAACAAAGCTGATAGGAGTCTCTGTGCCCATGTTTGGCCCAATTACTGCAAATAGGTACATATCGGTGATTTACCTGGTGTGTCTGCCCATCCTGGGTGCATGACAGAAAAGTGGATCTTGGGGTATGATTTGGCCCACTGTTCAGTTAATATCACTTGCTGCCTCTATACAAAAACATAGAAATGTGAATAAGACCTCAGTTTATATATAAAGTTGTATTGGGAAATAGTTATACTACTCAATTCATTATTTGCATTGATGTCATTTTCAGCACTTTTATGAAACGTCACCACCACAACACAAGGGCTGTATCAGGGGTGCAATGCAGAGCTCCTAACAAAGGAATTGCTTAGTGAGCAGCTAAAAGGTAAAAATTAGGAAAAACAAATGTAGAAAGTATGAGCCATACCGATCCACTCAGTTTATATAGATCTGAGGGAGTGTGTACAAAACGGATTGTAAGAACTGTAAAGGCCTAGTCCACATTTTATACAATGTTTCATGCCACACCTATATTTAGGGTAGAATATAAAGCCTGCTCACATACACCATCACCCCAAATCCTGCACCACCCCCCCCTCCCCCCCCAGAGGAGCTTCGTTTGACATTAGCATGGCTCCACCTGCACAGCCGTGTCCATCCAGGTCTGTTATTGTCATTTATTGTCAACAAGTCCCATCTGCCTTACATGTGCAAAGCGTGCCGGTGACCCTCCACTGCACCGACCCAACAGTGGGGGAAACCATTTCAAGAGCAGGTGCAATGCTCTGCAGGTTTCATTGTAAAACATAGTAAATACACATCGATCATTAGAGGAATGTTGCTGCATGTATTCCTTTTTCAAAAATAGTACTAAAAGTGGACTAAGCGTATAAAGAAGAACTCTGGGCAGAAGAAAACATAACCCTTGCAGTGGGGCTACCCCTGCACTGCAAGGGTTAAGTGCTCATTTGGGTCTAAATAACAAAAATATACTCGCTCAAAACCTCAGTCCCACCCGGCTGCTGCAGCCTTTCTCCCCCTCCTCTCCAGTGGCCTAGGAACCCATAAGTTACCAGATCCAATACAGTGCACTGGATGTGAGGGACATTCCATCGTCTCAGTGTAGGGGCTGTAGGGACTGGTCTAGCAACCTGGCAGGACTGAGGTTAGGGTGAGTAGATCTGTTATTTTGGACCCTTGCAGTGCTGGGGTAGCCCCACTGCAGGACTTAAGTTTTCTTCTTTAAGAAAAATAAAAATCATAGCCTGACAAGTATACAAATCATTTCCTCCTTTAGACAAAAAGGATCCCTGCTAATCAGTAGAATACGGTCTTCAGGTAAAGAATCGTCTCCAGTTTCCAACAAAGGCATTTTTCAGATCAAACAAATCATTTTATGCAGCAATAAAGTCAAACAAATCCAGGGAAATAAAAAGGTAACGGTGGTGGGAACAGACCTTGTTCTGTGCGTATACCATTGTTCCATCAAACGTGCCCTTCTCAAACTGCAGGTCCGACACGTCCAGCTTCTGAACCAGCATACCACCCGAGGAGACCGTGACCTGGAAGCATACAATAGTAATCAGTCACACTGAGACACTGCAGATTCTGACATCCATTCCACACACTGAGGAACGGCGGATGAGGAATTTTACTGGAGGCTTGTGGAAACATTCCTTGTGGGAGATCAGAACAACAACAGTGACTGTTTAAGACACACTAAGCTGCTCAAATACTAGGGTAATAGAGATCCGGTCTAATGTCAGGCATGGCAAGATGACAGCTACTCACATTAAGGGCCCTGAAACTAGAATGTACACACTGATTGCCCAATGAGCACATCTGAGCCGGCCTGGATATGGTACACACACCCTTAGTGAAAGATCACCCAAGATCAGATAGGTGCACGAGGGGGCCTTTGCAGTAATAATGGTGATCGCAGGTAGCCCGTAGTCCCTCCTATTGGAGCCCATTCACACCACATTATCTCCAGACCAGACCATTTCCAGACTCAAAATGCATCCTACTGTATCCCTATGCTATTTCTGGTCTCTGTTCACAACAGCACAGTCTGTTCTAGACCAGACCAGAAAAATACTGCATGTCTCATTTTGTCTGGTCTGGAACGCATGGAAACACATTGGAACGCACCTGGAAGCCCGTTTTGAGCTACAAAAAACAGTGCTGGAATGCGGCAAAAAGCAGTGCACTGCGTCCCAGAAAATGGTGTGAACCTTCCCTTGGGCAGGACTTGTAGCTAAATTTTACAGAACAGGCTTCAGTCACATCCTGCAAAGCAGATCTGGATTATCCACAAGCTACCATATGGAGGAGACTAGAGCCCTCCCACCCACCCCAACATATAAATCTTTATAGAATTCAACCCGGGGGGGAGAGAGATAGTGAAAATCATCACCCACGTGACACTTTCCAAGGGAGGATGCATTTGTAGACAGATGGTGAGGGGGCCATGCCAGAATATACAATTAAAAAAGGATAGGTTTCTCTGTACATACGGCAATCCACGTCAGTGTCACCTGAAGCACTGCAGGGGGGCAGAAGCTGCTACCTTGTCTAGGGTTCCAGTTTGCCTTTTATCTGTCTCTGCTGCAAATGGTGTGATGGCGGAATACAATCCAGCAAAAAAGTCATTTGGATGCCTACTGTAGTTTAAGTTTTAGTTCTTACTTTTGGTCTGTATTTTGCTTTCCTCTAAAATGCCATTTCATAATGGTTTCCCAAACCAGAAGCTAGGACCAACATCAGCTACATTAGAAATCAAATATTGCACAGCGCTATATATTTAACATCCCAAAATGTGCAAAACCAAGTAATTCTCCATAACAAAGGAGACGCCTCTTGTTGGGCACCACAATAATCACACGAGTGGTAATATATAAAGTGCAGAATAAGTGCTTCTGTGAATTCTAAAAACTGATCATTCATCAATGTGTTCATTCAATAACTTATATATTTCATATAAACGTCTGTGCCATATATAAAGTGCATCAAGTGTATAAATAAATCATGATCTCGCATTGCAACACACACTTATAACATTTCATATAAGTTACTAATTGAATGAACACATTGATGAATGATCAGTTTTTAGAATTCACAGAAGCACTTATTCTGCACTTTATATATTACCACTCGTGTGATTATTGTGGTGCCCAACAAGAGGCGTCTCCTTTGTTATGGAGAATTACTTGGTTCTGCACATACATTTTGGACATTAAATATATAGCGCTGTGCAAAATATGTTATAGATCTTTGAAGAGTGAATACGCTCTGCGCACAGCAGCTTTATATTTTCTCCCATCTATAGCAGTCCAGAGCGTGGAATATTGTGCTATTAGAAATTAGAACTAACACTATAAAACCCAGATGACACAGCTGTATACACTGATGTAGTATATGGCGCATCATCTAGCTGTGTGTATACAGATTATACTGGCTTCATGAAGGTTCCCTTTTATTGAAGCCTTCACCAGTACTGGATGAACAAAGTCATGGTAATGTGTCTGCCAGTGTTGCTCGGTCACAATTTTGCTTTGCTATGGTTCTTAAAAGCCTCTAGCACTTTCAATTAAAAAAATAAAACCTAAAATAAATAGATTTGCGGAATTTATTTAACTGAAAGATGTGTCCCTGTACCTAATCAAATAAATGAGACACGGAGAAGCATGAAATGAGAAGATCACGGAAGCAAATAAAAGGTAACCTGTCCCAATAAAACTCCATAGGCTGCCATGTCTGACCCCTCCTTCAGAGGATGCCAATTTCCTGGCAGTTATAGTGATGTTCCAAATCTTCTGGGGTCACTGACCAGGAACAACAATGGATATAAAGAATTTGACATTTCTCCAACTTTCATTTGCTGCATGCTGTTCAGAGTCTATGACAGATATACTGAAGCCAGAGAAGCCCAGACATGGCAGCACCCATAGTTCTCTTATGACAGGTCTACTTTATTGACAATCCCTTTAAAAATCAACTCTTTGTTAATTCACAGACACAAGAAATGCCCAAAATACTTACCACCCTGGCCCCCTCTTCATTTTCCAGTGCAGATAACAATGCTCTAGTCAGAATATAGGTACCTGAGGGAAAAAAAAAAAAAGTTAGTTTAGAGGTGCCACAGCTTTCATTTTCAGCTCCATCGGTCACTTATGCCACACCGGCTACCTGGACATGAAAAGTGGGGCCTGAATGTTAGGTTTATCACACACGATCTTACTGGTCTTGTAGGACAAGAGGATAAAATAATAATAAAATGGATACTTTCATGCATGATGATCCTGAGGGTCACCGAGCGCCAAAATGACCAGAATGTGTTGCATCTAAGTATAGGACAGGTCATAGTACTGGGCCACTGAAGTGGGCGATGTTTTTAGGTAGCGTATATGTAAACCCCAAAAATAAACTTCTCTTATTTGTTCCGATTTGGTCTGCGAATTTTACCATTGAAAACATTTGATATATCTATTGCATAAGTGCCTGTTGATCCTGCCAGAAATCCAGCAAGCATAGGGTTATCAGTCCTGTCCAGTTTACACGAGTTGGACTACAGAACACTCCCGCTATGCTGTGGAGATGAGGAAAAGAGGGGAGGGGGTTCTGAATTCCAAGCTGGGAGCACGCAGACTAGGTACAATACTTCCTGGCCTAAGGAGGCAGCTCTTACTGACAGGATAACCAGGTGACAATAAAAAGGGAAAAACAAATAACATATGAAAACTAATGCAGCCGCCACATCTAAAGGACTGGTAAGCTGCAATGTATTATAGTATTATTCTTGGGTACAATAAGTATTAATTAGCTCCCGTACTATTAGTCAGGGTCAAAATAGAACATTCATTAGCACATACAAATAGAAAACTGTATCTCTCCAATCACTGAACACAATATGCCATTTGTCTGCACAGAAAACATCCTCCCGTGTATCTGCTGATAATGGTTCATTTCTGTAATGCAATGTCAGGAAATGACCGCACAGCTTGTATTCGATTTAGAAGAGGTTTGTTCCCTGTAATGAATATCATTCCAAATGTAGAATGAAAGATCATTTAATAACATGCAAAGTGCAGTGACCCAAAATATACTGAAGTCAAATCAGTTATGGCTCATTTGGGAAGAAATCATTTCCCGCTGGGTAAAGTGAAATGAATCCTGACACAAAACAAGACTTATCATCACAGCCACTAAATGAATTTGCTATGAATCTAAGAAACCTCCAGGTTCATGTCTGGGTGAATCCTGCTCATTAGATTGTTAGTGTCCGGAAACCACAGCAACCTGGTAATGGAATTATTTATCTGCAGTATTCTGCAATGGGAAGAAGAGATTTCTCAGCCCGTCTTATGAGTTACTATCCATATGGAGACCATTACATACAAACTAACGAATACCGTTACCATCTTTTCCAGCAATATAGTCTTACAATTTATTTTTAGCTGTTTTTATGCCATGTAGTGATACAAAGAGTATAAGCTCCTAGTATAGGTTGCAGAAGCTCTATGTCCATAGACTTTTGTTTGCACCAGGGCTGCTTCTCTGCCAATACAAAAGCAGCTCGGAAAAGCTTGATGCAACTTAGAAGGCAGTCAAATGAACCCGTCAATGAACTGTGAATGATCTTAAGCCCTCATTCACACGAGTAACAGCCGGCCTGTACAGATCCGTGCTGCGTTCTCGGGAAGGACAGGTGCTGCGTGTGATTTGTACGCAGCAGCCTGTTCTCTATGGGAGTACACCGTCGTACGCTCACCCGAGCTGCACGTCCGTGTGGTTGTGGGTGTCCCTACTCGGACGCAGACAGGATCCTATCTGCGACACTCACGTGGACGTGAAGTTCGGGTGAGTGTACGGCAACGCACTCCCATAGAGGAGAACAAGCTGCTGCGAACAAATCACACGCAGCACCTGTCCTTCCCGGGAGCGGCACAATACGGCTGTGCACACAGCACGGATCTGTACGGGCCGGCTGTTACTCGTGTGAATGAGGGCGAAGTCTTAAAACGGATGTCAAATGCAGCCTGGATGCACCTAAAAGTCATTAGCCAAATGCCATTAGCTCATTGATATAAGCTCATAGCCCATCAACACAGGCCTTTACTCTGTGTGCTACTTTGAGGAAAGCACAGATTCACTTAAAAGCTTCCGTTACACCAAGTCATTTGGAAAATGTATGCATTAAATGGCATTGATCTTTGTACTTTTGATACACGTTTGACATATCACATCCAATCAATTGACAAAAACGTGCAAGTCAATGCTAACCCACAGCACCCAACCAGAATTCATCTTTCACGACTCTTGACTGCAAAACATTGCACATAATCTCTGTTGTTTCTACAGTCTTGTTAAAGGAGAACTATGGGGTCAGTGTTTTTCCCCATGGTTCTCCTTAGGGTAACGGGAGGACACAAACTAGCGTCCTCCCGTTACCCTAAGCAGCCCATTATGGCAGACTTGCCTGTCAAAGCATTCCTCTTCAGCACTGTGCTCCTCCCTCGCTGGTGCCGCCATCTTCCTCCAAGTCTTCAGCCACTTTTTTGGCAGGGTCCCGATGATGCAACTCCTGCACATGCATACAGGAGTTACTTCATCTCAGCATGCCGGGTCTGTGCTCCGAGTTACACACGTGCAGCTCAGTGGACAGAAAAAATAAAAATTGCTGAAAGGCAGCCAGAGGAGTCTCTTCTCCGCAGTTTTTTCATACCTTTACTTCCTCTAAGTGGACAAAAGGGTCTATAATGTTCCGTTTGACTAAAATGGTTCTCTTAGCATTTAAAAGCATCAGTTAATAGAAGGCGTCACCTACCCAGGACATTTGTTGCAAAGTTCTTCTCTATTCCATCATCTGTTAATTCTCGTTTATTCACCATACACCCGGCATTGTTTATCTACAAAGAAAGAACAGCGTGCGCTTCATAAATATTGCCACTTTTCTTGTGTAATTGTGCCTTGTATCATAAACCCCACCAGCCCCCTCTACTAGTTTCATTCTCACCTATCCCCAATTCAGCGTGATATAGAGGACTAGATTGGGCCCGTACATGTGCTTCCCACTCTCCATTGATTCCTATACAGTTTCCAAGTACAAGCTTGTACCTGGAAACTCTGTAGAAATGAATGAAGAGGGCCTTTCACAAGCGGCTGTGTGACCCAGTCAGGGATATCCCAATGGTTCAGGAGGGGTTCTGGGGGTGGGGGTACAACAATATAAGGGATACTGCTAAAACAGGATATTCGGCGTAAACATTATATGCAGGGACATTTTTTTCCTTTTGAAAAGCGGACTTCCTCTCAGGAAAACACAAAAAGCATAGTGTAGTATTGGTGAACACATATTTTAAGTTTTGATTGCACTGTTATAGATATTTCTAGATTAGATTTTAAAAGAAGACCTGTATTTCACTGCAAGCACTTAGACTGTCTGGTTAACAACTGTTGGAATAAAATACCATTGACAAAGGAATTAGATGGTGGTTGGCAGCCTAACTTGCATTGTAAGAAATGGTAAAACATGTGCAGCACTGCAATGCAGAACACAGTCAGTTAGTAAAGAGTAAATATAGATGCACCCATGGGACATATACAAACTATAAATCCGATAGAACGAGTTAAAACTTCCACTCACATTGATGGGATTATGTCTTACATTCATTTATCAAATCAGCACTGATGTAGTCCTGTGACATTCATCCAGTAATTAAAAAAAACTCCATTGCCCAACACTCAGAAGTGTTCCTGGGGCAGGTGCGTCACCGAGGTGTGCTCTGCTCCTGAACAGGTGTCATGGCCATTCTAACCCTGGATGGGAATCACAGCTGTGAGGTCAAGACAGGTTCCCTTTAACTGAAGACATTAGGGATGCACTGATCCCAGTTTTTCGGTATCAAGTACCGATATTTTTTTTCTGGTACTCGCCGATACCGAAAGTCCCATTAAGGAAGCTGGGCGGCATGTCACGACTCCCCGCCCAGCTTCCTAATTAGCCTGGAAGCCATCTCCACGCTCCCTCGTCACCAGATGACAACGGAGCATGGAACCAACTTCCCGGGCCAATCAGGAATCGGGGCAGCATGTAATGACCCACCGCCCGGCTTCCTGATACTGGAAGTTCTGGTATCGGGAAAAGCATCGGGGGCATTTGGGCGAGTAGAAGTACGTGCCCACATACTCAGTATCGGCACCTATACCAGTATCGTTATTGGTGCATCCCTAGCTACCGTATATAAACAGTGTAGTTGCATGTTCGCTACATAGAAAATATACAATGTGATCACCTGTACATCTGGACAGACCAGAATTTGATGTTGCATTGTAACAGCAGTAAGTCCCTGTTCACACCTGGGCGTTTTGACGCTCAAAGCTAAGTGCGACAAAACTCTCAACACAAGAAATCCCATTCATTTCTATGGCCCCTGTTCACACCTGATAGTTCTGTTGCAAGCTGTAAAAACGCTGAACGCTGGAAAAGGTACACAAGCTTCTTTTGGACAGACTACAGCACGTTTGGCTGCATAGGCTTCAATGGAAGCGCATTAAAACGCGTGACACAAGTATTTTGCTAATTTCTATGCGCGTTTTGTAAACGTTTGCGTTGGTTTCCTTATTCACAGCAATGCATTTTGATCTGCTCAAGAAAACTCACGTCTTTGCCTATGCGAGTCTAAGGCCTTGTTCACGCCAAATGCAGAGCAGACCTGCATGAGTTTCTGCACACGCAGTGCAGTGGGTTGTGACGCGTTTTTGATGCGCTCCGGGCAGTTTTGCTTTCAGTGCGTTCCAGGGCGTTTGCATGCATTTTTTGATGAGTTTGCATGCGTTCCAGAGCAGGTAAAATAGGGCCTGCTGCAGTTTTTTTACATGCTCTGGAACGGAACGCTGCGACGTGAACTGGAGCTAAAAATACCATTAGAATACATTGGACGCAGTTTTGCTCCAGTCTGTAACTGCTCTGCTGCTCCTGGAACGCGCTTGGTGTGAACAAGGCCTTGCACGAGTAAAAAGGTGCAAAACGCGCAAAAACCATGCGAGAGAAAGTGCATTAAAAAACGTGTTTTACACGCGGTAACGCTGACGCCCAGGTGTGAATGGAGACTAAAGCTGGATAGGGAGTCATGCTCAGGTTTCTTTATGTGGCTTTCAACAATAAACACATTGAAAAGGAGATGAATGCTTGAAGGTACTTCAATGCATTTTTAACGTTTAACTCCAGAGTTGTGACACTTTAAAGCAGATTAGTCTAAAATGTCTTTTGAGCAAATAGAAAAGGTGCCAATTCATGCAGCTCTGTCCTCATTAATGCATTATACTTACTTTTTCTAAATGCAAGAAGTGCGAGTACCTGAGTCTGACTTGGTATCAGCCTCTTACGTTGCACTGTACGAGACACTGGGAGGGGGGAAACAGCGCAAGGAGATGATCAGTCATGCTGAGGGGCTCATGTGCCAAGGAGCATGTTAATAGGAGTAGAGGGCAGAATAAGAGCTGAGCTCATCAGTCTGCTGCCTCTCCTTTCACTGTTCAGTTACAGGCTGGGAGAGGGACAAGACCTGTAAGTGTCACCTAAACGTGGCAGAAGAAAAATCAGGTCTCCAGGCCCGCCATAAAGGGTTATGCTGTACCATGTAAATCTCAGAACTGAACGGCCAGAACTGTAAACTTTCGGTGATAAAGCCACTCCCATATCATCTGTGGATAGAATGGCATGTCTGATTGTTAGCTGTCAGTAAAGTGCAAGTACCTATTACTTCTCAAATTTATCAGAGTACTCTCCCTGGCAATGCCTTCATCTTCCTTTCTTCCCAGAAGGACAGCATGAAATGCATTCAGCCATCTAGGGTTAGCTCACAGGTCATACTGCTGACACACAGTAGTCTACATGTTCTTGGCTGTATGTATTCAAACATTCTCACACAGCTGAACCCTCTGCTGCCTGACCTTGTGAGGTGTGTGGAAGTACATAATAGAAGTCACCAGCACTTGATGTGTTCAAGAAGTAAAGCACTTTTTAGTAAATTGTCACATGCGTCCTACAGCCAATGTTTCGGGGCCACGCAGGGTCCCTTCTTCTGACAGTCCCTAGGTCGCCCAGAAGGGACCCTGCGTGGCCCCGGAACGTTGGCTGTGTGACAATCTAATAAAAAGTGCTTTACTTCTTGCACGTATCATCGAGTGCTGGTGACTTCCATTATGGACTGCATCTGACACGGCGCCATCCGTGTTGTCACTTCAAGCACCAACCTTTCAACAAGGTCTGTACGCTGTATGGAGTGCAGGTGATTTTGTATTATCGACTGTGTAAAAGTACAACAAACAGCTAGTTTGAATGATATAATGTTAGAGAGACTGAGGAAATGCTTCCCCTGCCTGTAGCTGACTAATGCGATCAATTTCCCAGGAAATGGATAAAACATGTGAAAATGTTTTTGTATCGCAGAGATGTACTGCAAGTGTGTGTGTGTGGGGGGGGGTTTATGTTGCCCTGACATACACTTTAACTACCATTATTTGAGAGGACAAAGACCTACCAGCACATGGAGTCTGTTTTCATTCTTAAACTTCTCAGCAAATTCCCAGATTTCCTTTGGATTAGACATATCTAGCAGGTGTACCAAGACACTCTGAAAAATAAAAAGAGACATTAAGACCACAAAGGACTAACTGACAGTTTCTAAAAGTCTAAACAAGGTAAAAAAAACAAAAACTTGTTTGTAGTTCTATAGAAGACAGAGAAGGGTTACAAAACGGTTGTGCTTTTGCTGCTGTCTGTGCTCCTGCTAGGTGCCCCCCTTACTTTCTCTATGATCCCCAGGACAGGAAGGCAGAGGAAATCTCTCCAATGGGTGGATGGAATTATATTTTATTAGAATAGATTTGTATTGTATTTTGCATGTAAAGTGAAGAAAGCAGCGCAGACACAAAGCTTTGACAATTGGCCAAAATGCTACAGTATCCAACTGACACAAGGATAACAGAATGGCAAATAGAAGTATGAGAAGACGTCACCCATCCACCCCATACTTTATTGAACTTGGGTACACAACCCTAGGTTTCATTGGTAGATTACCAGCACGGAAGGTCCAAATTTATAAGAGCCTTCCATTAATTGACTTTTGTTCCCAATTGAATACCAAAGTTTGGACGCATAATACAATAGTTGGAAACATATTGTAGTGCGTTACCCTGGGTTCCAGGTATTGATTAACCTTAAAATACAAGTCCTCAGAGTGGACAATTAGGAGCTCAGATATTTTTTTTAAATAGTCGCAGACCAGAATTGCTGGTCTTGGGGTCAGCTGTATATAAGGTTTGTGTCAGAACTGCTTCTCTTCCCAATACAAGTCAATCAACATGCAAAAGCGGCTTGAAGCAGTTGATGCAGCCTAGAGGGAGGTCAAATACACCTGCCAATGACTCCCCGCAATCAAAAAAAAAATGCATTTGCCCATTGACAGAGCCTGCAGATCATTGACACAGGCCCCAAGTTTTCCCAAAATTTTAAAATTCAGAAGCCATCTTGGTCATGTCTGATAATAGTATACGCTTAAAGTGACATTAAACCCTCAGATTTTTTTAACATAAACCAATACTGTAATGTGTGCCTTACTGTAATCCATGGTAGTTTCCCCTCTCTTTGCTGCTCTTACTTTTAAATCCTCATGTCAAACTGAAGTCTTAAGTAGCTCGACATTCTTTAGTCTTAATTTGTTTTGCCGAATACTGGAACCAACTAATTTTAGTAGGATCACAGAAAAGCTGAGAGATTGTAGTCCATCACAGGAGCAAGATTGGTGCGGTGACTACTTTACAACACACTGGGACCATGGGGAACAAAAGTAGCCACCCTCCAGAAGGAAGGACAGTGTCAGCACCAATTTAGAGATGATTTGATGATGTACAGCCGAGTGATACACAAATGAGCTACATTTCTGTTACTAGGGTACTTGAATGCATGTTTAAGATTTAACTTTTGAGTTTAGTGCCACTTTAAGGGTTACAAATATTGCTTCCAAAGCCATACGCAGGTTTGCTTTACGAGGCTGGATCCTATAGTGGTTAATTCTATCTTAGCTGCAATGCAGGTTATACGAGGAGCGAATCATTAATACAGAACACTTACCTCATTCCCACTGTTTGTAATGATCTCTTTTTGTGCTTCTTCTGCTCTGTCCTTGTTTCTGCATACTAGATGAACAGTACCACCTAGAAGAGGTGAACAATATATCAAGTAACCATACATTACTACCGACAGGCAAAATCTCAAACTACCATTTTTTCCCTAAGGTCTTCTTGGCATTGCTGCAGATTTACTTCATTTCATAAAATTCACCAAAAACAGCCAGAAGGTAGATTTGCTGGTTTTAGAGAAATCCTGAATCTGCTTTGGACCTTTGCCTGCATCTCACATATTTTACCAGAAACAAAAATTGTAATTCCAGATTTCACTAGAGCAAACCCATTATATGTTTAGTTACCCTAGTCAGGTGCATATATACTGTATAAGCCAACCACTGTACAACTGTAAAACAGGACTGGACAAATCCCAGGAGCCAGGTAGTCAATGCTCTGAAAAATTATGCCTGGAGCTTAACTTTTGAGGTTCTTTAGTTGTTGCCAATGGGGCTGGCTCCTGGACGGGACAGACTAGATTCAGCATTCCATATTAATATGTCCGCCTAAGGTGTAAGAGTTACAGCTATTTATTAACTCTCAAAGAGATCACAGTTCAACCCCTGGCAATACCCTTTTACACAGAGGACTGACACCATCATCCTGGATGGAGATTCTGGCCCAAAGATGACCTAATTCTATAAATCCCTAACAGGAGCCTTTTTTCCTGGATAAATCTGTCCTGTGCGGGTGCATGAATGTTGGAATGTAAAATCTGAACGATAACAGGTAGAGAGGAGACAGAGGACATGCTTCCCGCTGTCTGCAGCAGAATGACGACATGATTCTCCTTGAGCTTACCTCTTTTCGCTATGGCCAGAGCCGCTGCTTTGCCGATCCCACTATTTGCTCCGGTGATCATATAGGATTTTCCTGTAACGTCAACTTGCAAATCTTCTGCCGCAAAGTACTTGGCTGCAGACTCGTATCCACCTCTGTTATAGACAATTAAGGATCAATGTGAAAAGGATTGCTCTGTCAAAAGTGACCCGAATGATTTTATTTGACAAATTGCTGCATTAAAATTAATTTGACAGAATTGTAAACGTTGGCGGGTTTAGCACGACTTGAAGTGTTTTGGGGGAGTTTGTGGCAGCCAGCTTTTCTATGTTGAACACAATCTTCAGCTTGTAAAAGAGCAGTTAATATAGCAAGCTTTTCCAAAGCATTTGCAGAGGTTTCAGAAAGCTTGAAGCATTTAACCCTTTTGCTGCCAGCAATATAAGGCATACGTCGCTGGCAGCAGGCCCCTCTAAACAGACTCCCGGTGGCTATATGTTCAGCTGTGTAAAGCCGGGGGTCGGCTTTACACTGGAAGCGATTCTGGTGGCTGAGCTGCCGCTAGATCACTTCCAGGGGCTGGAAGTGATCAGCAGTTACAGACCGGATCAGCAAGGTGACACAGACTGCAGAGGTCAGCAAGGTGACGCAGAGTGCAGAGGTCAGCAAGGTGACGCAGAGGTCAGCAATGTAAGATAGAAAAGGGACTTACAGTGGTGATGTGCTCTGTCCTCATGCATTCTTCTCCGTGTGGTGGTGGGGGGGCATCGATATCTCCTTGTTGTGCCTCCTCTGCAGGTCCCTTACCACTCTGCTGAATGTACCCAGGCAGCCAATGACAGTGCTGCACTGTCCCTCCCAGCCAATTGTAGCAGAGGTGGGCCGAGGTACATGCTGCCGAGGAGCAGTCGCTTGTCACTTGCAGCAGCAGAGGTGACAGGAGATCTTGGCAGCTACTTTTATGAGGAATCAGCGGGGGAGGGGGGCACACGGGGGGAGGTGACGCCTATGATCCCCGCACAGCAGCCGGACATACAGCTGTCACAGAGTTTACTGCTGTTCAGTGTAAAAAACCGGCATAGTACTTGTAGTGTGCCGTTTTTTTACGCTGAACCGCAGTTAACTCAGTGACAGCTGTATGTCCCGGCCGCTGTGCGGGGATGTACTCCTGCATCCACCACTGAGTCTGGACACTACCGCCTCGGCGATCGCTCGCTTCTGTTCTCTCTTCTCCTCCTTGGCCGCTCTGTAGTTGCAGCGGCCAAGCAGGAGAAGGAACAGAAGTGAGCAATCGCCGCGGCGGTAGTGTCCTATCCCTGGCCCTGCCGGCGGCACCCCCCCTGGATGACATTCCACTCGCCCCCACTCAATTTTCACTCGCCAATTGCGAGGGAGCGAGTGGAAATTTTGAGGCCTGGCTTAGTGTGAATGGGGCCTTAGGCACAAATATTTGTAAATGTTACCTAGAACACAACAAAAACATTTTTTTGGTGTAGGCCTACAACAAAAAAATGTAGGCCTAAAGCGGGCCAAACACTTCCAGAACTTCACCAAGTCCTGCTGACTTGGACAAAATTCGAGCAGTATGTGACCCCATCTTCACCCCTCCCTTCAATCTTTCAATCACCTTCTGTCCAAGGGGCCACTTCGAAAATTCTTGGCCTAAAGCTGGCCATACACTTTACAACCATCGCACGACTTTTGTTGTGCGTTGGTAGTAAGGTGATTAAAATGTCGTACGATCTGCCTATCTTGGACAGTCAGATCGTACTTGCGATCATCGCAAGCACACCCGCTGAGGGGAGGGCTTCCTATGATTGCAGTGCTGAGCGGGCAGTGTGGCATTTGTCTTCCGAGCACGCCACCAACCCTCCAAAAATCGTACGATTTTCGGCAGGTTTTCCAGCGTGCTCGTAAGACGAAAGTCGTGCGACCTTACAGTAGAAGCGGTCGCGCTCTGCCCATACATCTGACAATTATCGTACGAACGCAGGATCACCCGCGATTATCGCACGATAATCAGCAGGTGTATGGGCACCTTAACAGACAGCAGCCAATCAGCTGCAGTCAAGGTTTGGGTATTCTGACATAGGTTTTTCCCTCTCTTTGGGTCATAGGCTTCCACTTCTTGTAGATATCTCAGCCGGTATCTCACTCCTAAGCAAGCCTCCAGCTGCAAGCCTTCCAGCAGTCCCAGAAATGTTTTCATATCACCAAAAAAAACTAACCAGAGAGAGAGTAGAGATTGGGTATCCTCTCATCTCATCTCTAGCCTACAAGTGTGTGTGTGTGTGTGTGTGTGTGTGTGTGTGTGTGTGTGTGTGGGTGGGTGGGGGGGGGGGGGGGTTCTCAGGTCACATTTTTACTGGTCTACAAACATTTAACACCCTCTCATTAAGTAACAGATTATACCAGAGCTGGACAAATCCCAAGTCGCCAATACTCCTTAAAATCCCAAGTCGCCAATACTCCTTAAAAATTACAGCTGGCGCCTGACTTTTGAGGTTCTCTAGTTGTCGTCAACGGAACGGACTCCTAAAAAAAACAACCCTGCTGGTTCTTGATTGGTCAGACTGGCTCCTGAATTCCATATCATGCCGGAGCAAGACAAGAATTTTTACATCGGTGCCACATGGACATCTACATCATGCTGCTGTGTCTACTTAGTCCCAGTGGCGTCATGAAGGGGGATGCAGGGGGGGTAATAGTCATTCTGGTGTCACCCCCACTGAAGAGTCAGGCACTCAGTCATGGATCGAGAGCCCAACAGCTAGAGGAGGGGACCTGATGGTATACCTTACCCCACCGGGTGAACGTCCCCTCTCTCTCTGCCGGCGTCCATCACCAAGATGGCCGCCGGCAGGTAACCGCACATGACATGCACGATGATGTCACGGTGGAGTGCCACCCGGTGGCTGTTACAGGATTTTTGTTGTGCAGCCCAGTGTGCATGTGCACTACCGCCAACTCATTACAACCTCCTCAATCCCACCTCAACCTAACCACTGAACCTTCACATTCTCACATAATTCATTCCCACAGCTCCCTCCTCATGTATCATTTCCCCCTCCTCTTTTAGATTGTAAGCCCTCAGGGGCAGGGCCCTCCTTACCATCTTGTCTTGTATTGTAACTGTAATGTCTTCCTTATATTGTAAAGCGCTGCGCAAACTGTTGGCGCCATATAAATCCTATATAATAATAATAATAACGTCCTGCTGGCAAGTCACCAGAGGTGATGCGGTTGTAGATCTCAACAAGTTGGCTATTTCAGCAGAATACCGGTATTTAAAGTGCAGCTGCTGTCACCTGATCATTAAGGCCCCGTTCACATATAGCGACATACCTTTTGCAGCGGATCCGCACGGCCGGGATAGCGCGACTTTCGGGGCGACGTTCCAGCGACGGTAGCACGACCTTCCCCGTCGGGCTCCATAGAAAAAAAGTAAAATCGCGCAAAATCCGCCGAAAAAAGGGTCCGGTAGAAGCGACTTGCGACCGCGACGCGCGACATGGAGTTAAGACAGCTCCATTGAATAACATTGGCCGGCGACTTCTCGCGATATCGCGCGGCAAAAATGCGCGATATCGCGGCGGAAATCGCGCGACAATTCGCTATATGTGAACGGGGCCTAAAGGTGAACTATGGGGTCAGGGCTTTTCCCCATAGTTCTCCTTAGGGTAACGGGAGGACACAAACTAGCGTCCTCCCGTTACCCTAAGCTCAGTATACTGAGACGCCGCAGCCAGAACGGATTCCGACAATGCTGTCTGGATCTGCCTATCTAGAGGCAGAGCCAGCTGTACCCACCCCCCTCCCCCGTCCGTTCGTTCCACCAGTCAGCGCTGGAGGATCGTAACGGGGAGGGGGAATCCCTGCAGGGAGCCGTGAGTGACAGTCATGGCTCTCTGCAGGGATAGATCGAGAGGTGAGCGAACGCCGGTATGTGTTCGCTCACTTCCCGATCTACTGAGCCGACCAGTGAGTCTCATTGTCACAGGTCAGCTCAAAATATGAGTGAAAAGCACTCACCTCATAATTCTCCTTTAACTTGAATGGCAGCCAACAGAGAACACAAGTTCCTGACGCAGGATTCCCTAACAAATAGGTGTGAACAGATCCTGACAGTAATACGCATGTCACACACTGTCATACATCAACAAACGCACATTAAGTCACAGAGGTGTGAACAGGGACATAGGTTTCAATCGTGGTAAACAAAAAACGCATGTGACATACAGTTTAGCGCATGACAAAAGGTCCCAAGCTGCAGACAATGTGACCCAATACCCTCATCATTGCAGCCTGTCATACATTAGAGGCAACCCTCAGCCCGTACTGGAAGAGCTCAGCTGGGACTTGATTACTATAGGCAATGCTGGCCGGGTATGATGAAGGGATTCCATGCAGGGACCGCACACTCTCTGCCCGGGCACTTACTTGGTATATTCCCGGAGCCCTTTCAGGAACCACACTGTGTTTCTGTACAGAGACATGTCGAGCGCTGGTGGACTCCTCTCCGTACACACCGCTATCTATCAGCATTCCGGTCAGGACACACCCATCGGTGGAAAGCCTGGACACGCCCATTGAGGGGAGCACGTGACGTCAGCTCGCTATATAACCAGTTCCCGCCTCCTGTATGTGAACTATGTGCTCAGCTGGGTTCTCTCAGCGTGATTGGCTCTGGTGTATAAAGGTGGAAGGAAGCTGCGCTCCGCCCGTTGTGTAACATACATATTGTCCTGCGCAGTGTTTATGGCTTACATAACGCTGGTCTTTACACTCTGGAGGGAATTTATCAAAACTCGAGCAATTGCCCATAGCAACCTATCAGCTTCTCTCTTCAGTTTGTGCGAAAATGAAAGACAGAAGCTGATTGGTTGCCATGCACAGCTGCCCCAGTTTTGATGACTTCCCCAATCCCCTCCCTATGTTTCTAAAGCATTCATGGACAAGGCGGCGTACCTCAAAATTAGCCCACGTTTACACATGAGCGCTTTGTGGTGCCTTTTCTAAAGTGTGACCGCTCAAAATAAAGAATCCCATTATTTCCAGTGGTGCCGTGTTTGCACCAGAGTGTTTTTTGCTTGTAGCTCCAAAAAGTACATGAGCTTTTTTTTTTCAGGCAGAGTTACCCCTTTTTGGCCCAATAGACTTCAATGGGAGCAACCGATAGACGTATGTGACATACATTTTATCACACCTGAGAACAGCCTCCTGCTGGTAACTAGCTTTCCATTGGCAAAAACCAAAATGCTCCAGTGCAAAACGCCTAAAAAATACACCAAAAAAATGGAAAAAAGCGTCTTAACGTCGCCTGATAATGCTCACGCTGAAATATGAATGAGGAGCTAGAACTTAGGCCCAGTTTACACATAGGCGCAGCGGGAATGCGCAACACTCATTCGTGTTTGGCGCATGTCCCCATTGATTTCAATGGGCACAGGACGCATGCCAAATGAAGGAAACGTCACATATGTAGCAAATTATATGACATGCGTTTTGTTTTTTTCCTGCATGCGAAAAAGGGTGTTTGGGTTGCCTTGCCATTAATTAGTAATGGCACCACCAGCACATTTGGTCCACGTTTCGTGAACATGTGTCAAAGCGCGCACATTGGATGCCAGTTCCTGATACGACTATGTGCAAAGTAAATGTTTTTTATTGTAATTGTTTCACATTTTTTTAATATTTTATTTTTTTATAAACTTGTTATTTTTTTTATATTTATTTTTATTTATTAATACATTTTTTATTAAATATTTTTATTTGACTTTTAGGGGCTTTGGGGGAAATATTAGGGGTCTAAACAGACCCCTGATATTTCCCTTTTAAAATAGAAAAAGAGATTGAGGACACAAAGTCCTCAATCCCTTTTTCTGCAGCCCCTGTTATCAATGAACGGGTATCCTCTATGAGTGCTCCTGTTCATTGATAACTTGAGGACATGGTATGTTTACTATAACCACAACTATGAATGAACAGGAGGTGATGTAGATCATTTCCCATTCATTCATAATTGAGGATATAGTAACCATACTCTGTCCTCCATTATGTACAAACACTCAGCGATCACTGATGACTGACTGCTTGTACCCGTTCTCCTCTCTGACATACTGTCACAGGAGGCTGAGGGAGCGGTGCAGGAAGGAGACCTCAGCCTCCTGTGACAGCGCGGACTGTGATAGGCGGCTGAGCGGTGTGGGAGGAGAGACGCCGGCCGCTCACAGCGCTGTCCTCCCGCAGCGCTCGGCCGGCTGTCACTTTCTCTCCTCCCTGCTGGGACACAGAGCAGTGCCCAGCAGGGAGGAAAGAAAGCAGGGATGCGCCGATGTAACGCCGATGGCATTTAGCCAAAAGTGCCATTTTCGTCCGATATGTTTCGGCGGCCGATATATCGGTGCATCCCTAGTGAATAGTTAATGAAAGTTGTGTGAATCTTGTGTGAAACATTTTTAAAAATAGACCCTTAAATATTTAAAATGCTTACTCCATGACTTTTTTCTGTTGTGTTAAATAACTCAAATAATGACAAAATAAGCCATCAAATAAGGGAAATAGAAAAAAGGACATATTATGTCAACAAAAGAAAGTGTTGCTATTTTTGGTTCAGCATGTTTCTTTCTTTGTTTTTCATGTCTGATCACTGGTCAATAGTCCTCTGGTTTCATCAACTGGCCAAAAATGACAATCTCGAGAGAAATGATTCTGCATTCCATCCTGTGACACATTTTCAGCCAAGAGATTGCAAGCCTGCCCACCATGGCAAGGTAGACTCTTATAGGGCAGGACCTACACTAAACTAACCTACTTGTTGCTGGTGATGTTTTTTTTCTAGTTTTGGGTGCATGCTTGAAATAGTAGTAGGAGTAGGTGTATATATCAGGTGCGTGCGGTCAGGGGAGGCAGAGCCTCACCTAGTATTACGGAGGAAAAGCTGTCAGCTTCAAGTCTGAAGCTGACAGCTTTTTCTCCATTCAGATCAGCTTCTATGAGGTTACAGAGCAGGGAAAGCCTCCCCGCTGTGTAACCTGTCATTAACGGAGCACTGCCTGTTAATGACAGAGCTTCGGTGGGATGGGGCGGAGCTTCGGCGGGCTGGGGGATGCCTCACCCAGCACAGAAGGCACGTCACGTCACTGGTATATAACTATCTTATCAATCTATTAACCTTTTATGTGGCAAATAAGTTGCGCTCGGTCTAGTTGTGAATGGATGTGAAAGTGCTCTCTCAAAACCCAAAGGGGGAGATCACCTTCAGATAACAAAAAGTCACGCACTAAAACAAAAAAAGGTTTTGGCTATACATACACTTTAATAAGAGAGACGCAATAAGCAGCGCTGGAGAGACCCTAGTGACATCTGGACGCAGCCTGGTGAGATCTGAACGCAGCCCTGGTGACATCTGGACGCAGCCCTGGTGACATCTGGACGCAGCCCTGGTGACATCTGGACGCAGCCCTGGTGACATCTGGACGCAGCCCTGGTGGGATCTGGATTACACATGTCACCAGGCTGCATACAGATTCTGTACGCAGCCTGGTGAGATCTGCACACAGCTTTGGTGAGATTTGTACGCAGCCTGGTGGGATCTGTAGCCCAGATGTCACCAGGCTGTGTCTAGATTCTGAATGCAGACCTGGTGAGATCTGTATTTAGCTCTGGTGAGATCTGTATGCAGCCCTGGTGAGATCTGGACGAGCCTGGTGGGATCTGGACTACATATGTCACCAGGGCTGCGTACAGATCTCACCAGGCTGTGTACAGATTCTGTACGCAGCCTGGTGAGTTTTGTACGCAGCTTTGATGAGATTTGTATGCAGCTTGATGGGATCTGGACTCCAGATGTCACCAGGCTGAGTCCAGATGTCACCAGGCTGCATCCAGATTCTGAACGCAGCCTGGTGAGATCTGTATTTAGCTCTGGTGAGATCTGTATGCAGCCCTGGTGAGATCTGGACGGGCCTGGTGGGATCTGGACTACATATGTCACCAGGGCCAGGGGCGGACTGACAACACATGGGGCCCCCGGGCAATACATGGTTATGGGGCCCCCTTGTATGCCCGACGGACCGAATGGTCAGTCCGCCCCTGACCAGGGCTGCGTAAAGATCTCACCAGGCTGTGTACAGATTCTGTACTCAGCCTGATGAGTTTTGTACGCAGCTTTGGTGAGATTTGTATGCAGCCTGATGGGATCTGGACTCCAGATGTCACCAGGCTGCATCCAGATGTCACCAGGCTGCATCCAGATTCTGAACGCAGCCTGGTGAGATCTGTATTTAGCTCTGGTGAGATCTCCATTCAGCCCTGGTGAGATCTGGACACAGCCCTGGACACAGCCCTGGTGAGAACCTGCCCTAAAATCATTAGTCCGTATTGTTTTAGAAAAAATGTCACATTACAGGATCTGTAATTGGTATTGGCAAGTACCTGAGGGGAAGTAGTTGTACTTGGTTTTGAAAAAGTGGTATTGGGACATCCCTAGTGGGAACCTATCACAGTACCACGCTTGTAGTCACTGAGCTCCTGAGAGCGACCCATTCTTTCACAAATGAGTTTGGCCTTCAACCCTGTACTGTTCATTGTACTGGAGCTGCATACTCAGTGGAATGGGGGTGTTGTAGGTCATGCCTACACAGGGGGCAATATCTGCTGCAATGCAGCCACTCGTCAATACAGGTCCGATGGAAAATTTGGCTGCATGAGAGGCGTCTGCAGGAAGAAAGAACACACAGACGTTCAGTAGTGATGGGCTGAACACCCCCGTGTTCGGTTTGAATTCGAACTTTAGAACATGGAAAAAGTTTGAATTGGAACCCGAACCCAATGCAGGTCTATGGGGCTAAAACTTTGAAAATCAATTGTCCCCATTTTGAAGCCTTATATGCAAGTTATTGGCCATAAAAAGTGTATAGAGATTTGGGTACTGCCCCGGGGAGCATGTATCAATGAAAAAAAACACTTTTTAAAAATACAGTTTTTAAAGGAGCAGTGATTTTAAGATCCTTTAAAGTGAAACAATAAAAATGAAAAATTCCTTTAAATATCATTCCTGGGGGGTCCCCTTAAACCGCCTGTAAAGTGGGGCATCTGTACAGTGTATAGAACCTGCTGTAGCAAAAATGACATTTATAAAGAAAAAAAAGCATGCGATTCCCCCTCCCAAACAATACCACACAACAAGACTCTTTAGGTCTGGTAGGAATGTTAGGAGGAACCCCATTTAAATAAAAAAAAAAAAGTGTGGGGTTCCCCCCAAAAGTCATACCAGACCCTTAAGGTCTGGTAGGAATTTTAGAAGGGACCCCATGTAAAAAAACCAAAAAAAGTGTGTGGGGTTCCCCCTCAAAGTCAAACCAGGCCCCTAAGGTCTGGTAGGAATTTTAAGAAGGAACCCCACCCCCAAAAATGGGGGGGGGGGATGTGGGGTCCCCCCACCTAAACCGCGTTGTTTACCCGTATCTTCAGGAAAAAAAAATCACTTCTACTGTCGTGTTAAACAACCTGCTTCCCTATTTATAATGATCTGGCCCTCTAGCAACTTCAGCGCCAAATTATAGCTAATTTCCCTACAAACGTCAGGTGGTCATAATAATCTGGCCACTCAGTGTATACCCCACAGGGTGATCATAGTCACAGCTTCTACTACTTGTTTCTGCAGACAGTATGCTAGAAAAATAAAGATTTTACGGTCTGTGGGGTCCGTAAAGCTAAGCATTTCTCTTTTGTATGGGTCACTCAGGGCTCTCTCATCAATAAGAGCAAATGGGGCAGTTGTCCCACCATTCCATATAGGACCATGATCCAGTGGCAAAACATTACCTAAGAAGAGAAATATGCAGAAAGTAATGCACTTCTATCTCATTCACTAAAACATAACCTTTTTCACCTTTTTCTTTGAGGCAAAAATACCAAAATATAAGCTTTTTCACCATTAAAAAAATATCTGCATGTATTTATAAGACGTATTCTTTATTTTCCCCTAATCTGCAACCCAACAACAATCAGTGTTACCAGTAATAAGGGTCTCGACCTGTTTTCAAACTGCTTTTGCGATGCCATTGACTTGTATGGGGAGAGAAGCAGTTCTGATGTGAACAAAAGCCCATCAACATAGGTCCTAACTGAGCAGGGGGGCAATTGCCCCCCAGGTCCCTCCGATGGCGTGCAAGCTGGGCCGTCATTGAAGCAGCCACGGAGGCCCTGGGGCTACCTCTCACTGACTCAAGCAGCGGCTGTCACAAGGAATGCGCGGTTCTCAGTATAGGCAGCACAGGCTGCCAGTGATCAGAGAAGTGGCGTGTTCCTTATCATAGCCGTAAAGCATTTACAATTTTGTTATAATTAAATAAGCATTTATAATTTTGTTTTATTAAATAGGTGCATTTCCTATTAATAAAATAGAAGTTATCTGATCATTATTTCACAAATGTATTTATCTTTTAAAAAAATTCATATTAGTGGTCCGCGTGATTTAAAATGATTAATTTAGTGGTCCATGAGGTCCGAAAGGTTGGCGACCGCTGCTCTAGGAGGCAATGACAAAGTGACATTTACAGATCATATGATCTAAAGCTGCCTAGATCATATAACACAATTTCTTCCACTGGTTTATACATGAGACTCTGTGTTTTTATTAAACCCGATTTACTGTAACATTTTCAGCCCTGGGTGCTAATATATGGTGATAAAATGAGATCCACATTCTAACACATCTTCAATTTTAATGGATTCATGTGCAATTCAGATTCTGTGATTCGTGGATTAAAAAAAAAACATTGCAATTTTCCCCAGATTCAGCGAAAAGCATTTCACAAAGTAAACAATTTCTCTTTAATTCACAATGTAATACAAATATTTATATGGTATAAAATGCTCTGCAGTATAAAAAGCAGTTGCAATTCACAGGTAACAAAATGGCGACAAATAAATTATTTTGTACAGACTCCTATGTAACTAATTCCAGAATTTACATATTTGATTTTACCGCAATATTTACATTTCAGAAATTCAGTGATGTCAACAGTAAAAGAAAAAGATTTGAGTTACAAATGTATTAGGTATTGTCCGCACATACTGATTCATTGTACTGCTTCCCGTTTTCCCCTATTCTCTTTTTAAGATAGAAAAATATGATACGAAATTGTTCCATTAATGGAAGGTGGTGATGATATTCATGTGAACATCTTTAAAGTACAGCCAGCTACTAAGAGTCTATCCTGGCTTACCTTTGTGTAACTTGAGCATTTGAGCATTCCCAGTTCATTCTATGTACTAAGTTCTATATACATATGTGCTTTAATCATTTTTAGCAAGAGAATAATGTGAACATAAAGTGACACTTGTGTGAGCATAGAGGTAAAGAGATCCCTTTCTTCCTGCAGGTCTGTAGTGGAAACGGAGGTCTTCTCTCACATAAAGGGCCTGTGTCAAAGGGCTTTAGGCTTGTGCTCGTGGGCATATGCAACATGCTTCCAACTGCATTCTGCCTGCAACTGAGATCAGTTTGAGATGCTTCTAAGATCATTGGTAGGTGTATTTGATTTCTTCATAGCTGAATCAACCAGTTTAACCTGCCTATATATTAGCATTGACTTGTATGGGCAGAGAAGCAAGTTCTGACATGAACAAAAGCCCAAAGACACAGGCCCACAAAAACAACCTAACAACCTGGAAATTGTGGTAGGTGCTGTGCCAATACCCCAGTACCCATGTTTAAGGGCTGCTAATGTGCTTTGAACTAAGGCTTTTAATTGTTTTTGCGTAGAGATGCTTATTCGTTTTTGCTGCCATTCGCACAGAACAAATGTACATGCTATTTTGTAGGGCGAATGGCTCTGCAAATTGTTTCTAAATAAACCCCATAGAGTTGCAATGGTTACCTAAATCATATGTCAAGGCAAAATAAATAAGTAGTATGATATTTGCAGTACACTTCTGCAATACATGCCCTTTTGCCCATGTTGTATTCCTTTAAAGGCTCTGCCAGTGTAAAATAAATATCTTTTAATCGGCCAGGCGTGTGCTTAGCTCCTGACAACAGAGCAGGGCTGACATCCACAGCATAGGGACTAATTGACCTGTAATCCATGGTAAGGGAGGGCTAAATAGTTTCTTTGAGATAACAAAAGGCAGACAGCACAGGGCACAGGCCAGCTCATAATTACTGACAAGATCAACAAGTATTTTTTGCACCTATAAAACTGATTTAACAAACTGTTTTTAATTGTATATTTAACGGACCAGAGCAAATAAAATAATCTCATTGTTTGGATTTACATGCACTTTAAAGAATGGAAATTTGACTAAGAAGGTGCCGGATTGGAATCCAGGTTATGTCTAAAGGCTGCATTGTGATCCAACTTGGACCATTGATATTTAATTGAATGTGAACATGTATGTTCATCTTTTTTGTCCTTATTACAACTACTGAGACGTATCTTAGACTACAGTAGCTATGTGGTCACCTATCCACACTACCATATATATGAGGAGTGCTGGAATGCTTTTGTCATTTTTCGAAATTACTGTTTATGAATTTATCTAGCTGGATAAATGGAAAATACACTTACTAATAAACCTATCGCGCCCTTCTTAGATAAATTATTCCTAAATATCTGTCAAGAATCAAAAGACATAATGGATCCAGTTCAAGATATGGTTGCTGTTTTTAATTAACATAAAACTGCCAAAGACTGAAAGAAATGTGAAAAATTAAGAAGAATGTATCAGAGTAACGGCAATGTGAACTTATATGAAGAGTTTATCTTGTGGCATAGTTCCAGTCGTAGTTATGTTTTACTCCCTGCAGTAAAAGTTCTAGTTTCTTTGACGTGGAGCAACATAGACAGAAAGATTGTTCCCTGTTCTACACCTGCCATTGTTTTATATGTAGTGGTCTTCATCGGTTTCACTGATCAGGAGAGACCATTTATCTTGTCTCTCTCCCGTTAAAGAGTTCTCTCGTGAGATTTTATTTGCAGAGCCTTGGCTGATGTAACTGATCTGGTCCCAAGTACTGGAAATATCTCTTCTCCGGTCATCCATCCCAACATGAACACTTATCTGTGATGGTGTAAGTGGTTTCATGAGGCCTTGGGCCAGGGCTTCATATCTGTCGGAGTCTGGCTTATTGTAGCTGAAAGAATGACAGATACAAAATAAGTTACTACACGATTACCCCAAAAAAACTAAAAAAAAAAACTAAACACTGTAGGCTGGTACAAGGATAAAGAAGAACATGGAATGAAGTCAGTAAATAGCACTGAGAAAACCCCACCAAGAAATGGTCTCACTCCCACTGTTAAAGATTAAATTAACTTTCAGTTTAAAACATCGAAATATATTCCAGGTGCATAAAAACAAAAAGTTGTGAAAAGCTCTACAGTTTAATTTTCTTAGAAAGCAGCTTCAGCCTCAGAAGGAAAATCCTGTCCCCTGCCAGCAAGCTGCAGATGAGCATACTTGTTCTGTGTGGAAGCAGTGTTCTCTCTTCAAAGAATTCCAACATGCCCCTTGCTAAGTCAGAGCTAGAGTCGTCCAATCAGGAGGATGAATGAGTTTTTCTAATTGGAGAGCTCTAGCTTTGATTCTGTAGGAGCAAGTTAGACTGCTACAGAGAGGCCACTGTTTCCACACAGAGAGCAAGGGTCCTGCTATGCAGCATGCTGGCAGGGGACAGGGGTTTCTACTCAGGCAGTGGTTGCTTTCTAAAGAAAAACATCAGTTTTGGATAGGCTGATTGTTGTAACCTCTCTAGTGGTGCCCATTTCTATAACAGCCTCCATTGCAGCAATAAGGGACATGCTATACCCAAAGTGTTTCTAGTATTGTTAGCTGACTGGCGATTATACTAACCTAGTTGCTTTAACTCTCTGAAACACTGACTTGAACACTCTTTACGTGATGGTTTTATTGCTGAACAATTAGACTCTCATTCAGCAGGCTGATCACCCGTTGTGCATTTACATAACTCTTTGCTTAAACAGTAACACAGTTCATAACCCAGGGCACATCATACTGCTAAAGTGCCTTCAACAACAGTTACATAAACGCGGGCATTCTAGTGTCATTAGCCGCATGAACAGACACACTAAATTTGTGTAAATCGCTGCAACTTGGTCACGTAATCAAATCAATACTCTTTATTGTGTTTTGCCATCTTCTGAGCAAACTCATTGAAAATCACTTAATAGCATGATCTCTCAGGCAGCAAAGCAGAATGTTTTCCCCAAATACTTTCTTTTTTAAAAGGTCTGCTTTCCCTTGGATATTTCAGAGTACAAGACACATGTGCTTCAGACCCTTCCTTACATGCCACAGTCACACTCTCCATATTCATGTGACATTAGAAACGCAAGGGTTCTGTCTACTGGGTCATCAACAAAACGTTGCTTACAGGTATAATGTCCAGGCACCTGCAAGTGACATTCAGTCCCCCTGCCCCGCTCAAATGCTGGGAGCTGATGCTTTGTGCACCCTGATAATTTCCAGAAGAATAATACAAATTAAGAGAAATTATACATACGCATGCAACATTCATGTATTTATTGCACATATACTGTATGAGTGTAATACATATTAGTTTTTCCCATGCGTGCCAGAGGTAGAAGAATAATTAGGACAGAAAGTCTAGCTCCAAACAGGTCATTTATGTCTAAATAAAAACATGTCAAAATCAAATGAAGTGGTGGGGCAAATAGAGTGGAATAGATCTTAAAAAATAACTCCAGAAAAAGATTGTGGAGCTATGGAAATTAACATTACAGTAATAACGTCCGCTTATTACATTTTATCCCAAAAACATTTCCTGAAGTAGTCAGCTGCAAAATTAAAGAGAGAAAAAGAGAGTTTTACTGTTATCACCTGGAGAAAAGCTGGAGTCTCATATGATTGAAATCTGAAATCCAGATGAGGGCCTCAAAGCAGAAGTGAGATGGCCACATGTGTTCCAAAAAACCCCAAAACAGTTTAAAATGTCTAGTCTAAATAAACAAAAGTAAGGATGAGGCTAGGTTCAGATATCGGCGGTCCCGGGACCACGCTATCATGCACAATTGCACACAACGGTTGCCACACGGCCCCAGTGATTTCATTTCTTTTTTTTTAGCCGCGATCTTGTTCAATTGCACAGGCGGTATCGCTATCTGCCTGGCGCGACTCGAGTGCCATTAGAAAATAATGGCATCACCAGCATGATCGGCGGTGGTGGGTGATTCTGTGACTGCGCGGTTTCGTGCACAATTGCCACGCGGTCACGGATCACCATAGTGTGAACCTATCCTCAAGTCCTTTCCTTCCAGATAAAACTGGTAAGTTAAATGAAGGAGGCTGTGTAATATGCTCATTCCATATACAGGGTAGGAGCTCAGAAGAACTTGGAGGAACTCATAGGGAAGTTTAAGGAACTCAAAAGAAACTGAAGGAACTCAGAAATGAACTGCTAATCAAAGCCCTATACAGAAATAATTAGGGATGGCCATGGGATGGAGGTGATTCATGTCTGTGATAAGAGTGGTGCAGGACTTTGGGATGGAGTTGTAGGACAAATCACAACCATGCTGCCTCTGATGTGGCAAATACTGTACATGAAAGGCAGTAGTGAAAGTAAGTGTGAGGAATTTAGTCTGTATGGTCTGCACTACGTAGGAAAACAGTGCAAGTATATTTCATTCACCAAGTAGTAAGGGAACATAATGAATGATTAACATCAGCTGTAAACCAATGTCCTAGCAGATAAGGACCATGTTACCACTCACCACTTTAACTGTAATGATGATAAAACCACAGAGACAGAAGAAGCTGCCATTGCTGCTGATCCCATCCATGGCTGTAGCACCAACCCCACTGGCAAGAAGACACCTTCAAAGAGATGGCATAACAATATTTACGACAAGAAATATTACTCATTGCAGCCCTTGTGTGCAGAAATACTCAGATAAGTTATGCTGATTATAAAACTACCAGTATCATACATACATTTATATATCAGGTGATAACTGCTGCAAACGTTTCCGCTGGTAAACATTATGTAATATGAAAAAGCATACCTAAAAGGTATTAGAAATGAATAAAGACAGGGCCCCGATTCTTCTTTCCCCCCATCTTTCACCTACTTATTCCCTTCTCTAACATACCTCCTCCCCCGTCTCCCCCCACCAGGTGTAATGTCATTTTTTGAAACACATGGATGTCCAGTTATCGCAATGCTCTCATGTGCCATACGGGCTGACCCCCATTGAGCTTCATATTCCAATATGGTTTGGGTTTCCTGCGAGAGCTGAGTTATATGCTGCAATTGCCGGCTGCCTGTACTGGAACGCTAATGCAGAGCCCTAGCTCTTCCTGAGTAACTGTGCACCTACTAGGCCTTTGCATTATAGCCTACATAACCACGTCTGATGCCACTATTTGCTGAGCATACATGTATGTTTTTTGAGCCAATCCTGAGTTATGCTTATACCCTTATATGCGATTGTATTGATATTGGGTCAGCTGCGCTGACACCATGTGTTGTTTTGATGTGTTTCATACTTTCTTCTCAATAAAAATGTATACGAGAAAAAAAAAGAAAGAGAAAGACAAAAAAAGAAAAGACTATAGCATACAGTCTTTTAGACATTTTAGACACCTAGTTCCCAACCTGTGCCCCATGCGCTGCATGCGTCCCTTTGGCACTTTTTGTGCAGTCCCAGGGCCACTGCAGACTGTAGTCTGTTTTTTCATATTCCAGTGATCTCTAGCAGTCTTATGTAATGTGTCTCCAGTCTATGATTATCTCCTGAGCATGTGTCTGGTCTCTAACAACTACTATAAAATGGTTGCAGTCTCTGACCATCTCTCTTTTGGCATGCCTGTAGTCTTTGGCGTTGTAGCAATACGTTGTTTTGACCCTGTGGTGATGTCAGGAGCCACACTTGGGGCCCCTGTATTAAGAGAGTTGACCACCACTACATTAGTGTGCCTCCAGCCTTCTAGCAACAGTCTGGGGAAGCCCCTTTTCTTTTCCAGCATGGCCGTGCCCCCTGTACACAAAGCCAGGTCCATAAAGACATGGTTTGATAAGTTTGGTGTTAAGGGACTTGAGTGGCCAGCCCTGACTTCAACCCTACACATCAACTTTAGGATCAACTGGAACACCAATTGCAAGCCAGGTCTTCTCATCCAACATCAATGCTTGACGTCACAAATTCTTTTTTGACTGAATGGTTACAAATTTCCACATGCACACTAGAAATCTTGAGGAAAACCTTCAAGTGAAGGCTGTTATTGCTACAAGGGTGAGGTACCTCATCATTAATGCCCATAGTTTTGAAATGGGATATCCTACAAGCGTATACTGTTTGTAGGTGTGATGGTTAGATGCCCACAACTGTTTGGCCATATAGTTTATAATTTTGGGATAAAGACATTTTCTGTTACACCTTGAATTAAATAAATACTGAATCTCCTACTTGCAGCACTTGTATATTAATTAGTCTTCCTTCATGGTAAAAAGTATTAAACAAGTAATTAAGAAGTTACAGTATATAGACATACCTGCCGCAATAGGAATGCCGAGAAGATTGTATATCAGAGCAAACATGAAATTCATTCTTATCCTTCTCACTGTCCTCTTTGAGAGATGAATGCTGGCAACTACATCAAGCAAGTCATTCTGCAATACATAGAGAGCACAACAGGAGGTATTACCAAATACATCATACCTTGATTATGGTTTTCTATAACTTTTGGAATGACTCAAATAGTAATTTTATTGTTATCTAATCTTAATTATTTTACCTTAATTTAACACAAAATTTAGATACTTCTACTATATATACCAGAGATATACATAAAGGAAACTCTATTCTTATACTGACAATAGAAGAAGTATCTTTAAATTGCTGATCACAGAACCCATTCTCTTGCTATTATTTGTTCTTGATGAAGAGCAGGAACACCATGGCAAAGCAGATCTAAATATTTTTTTCACCTTTTCGCATCTTTTTTTATCAGTAAAAAAAAGTAATCAAAGCAACGGACCTTCCTGTATTTTTCTTGAAGATGTTTCGCTGGTGAATGAATTCTGAATTGAGAAAGCTATTCAGATGAACAGCAAAACGTCTTCAAGAAAAATACAGCAAGTCTAGATGTTTTGATTTATTTTTTTACAGATATACCATGAACCTTCACAGATTTTTGTTTTTGCTGCTGATCTCCACTTCTTGTCTACATGCACTCTCTCCAGCATTGGCTAAACATAATTTCTCTAAGTAGGCTTCTTAATAGTGACAACAGTGGACCATGCCAGGGTAAAGTGTGTTGGCATGGCCACTTGTAGTTTCTATCAGGGACACATGTGACAGGGTGACAATGCAGGATCGCAACTTGTAGACAGTTGTTACCCAAGAAAAAGTGCCTGAAAGAACTCCATGGCATGATCTACAGGTATTCTTTTATTGAAAGCTGCAGATTTTTTTAAAGACTGAAATTTACTCTTGTAATTACAATACCATGTTTAACCCTTTCGCTGCCAAGCCCTCCGGAACATTTTTCAAATCAGCTGGCCAAGCCATTTTTGAATTTTCTGCAATTTTTTACATCAGCTATTAATTTAAAGGGGACAGTCTGCTGAACAGTTCTACTATAAGCTGATGGTCGCTAAAGCGACCATCAGCTTATAGTAGAACTGTAAATGCCAGGTCCGTACGACGTACTGAGCTGGCCAGCTGGAAGCACTTTTGTAGCTCGGTACGACGTACGTCCTTGGCAGCGAAAGGGTTAAGCTTATATGATATGTTAGTGATTGTGTTCTACTTTAATTGCCCCACCCCAGTGCATGTACTTACCTTAATTTTGCTTCCCCACTGCAGGAACAAAGTACAAATATCTCTGCATAAACTTCAAATTGGTCTGGTTGGAACTTACATAGGATTAAGGATTTTCTCCATGCCTCTCACCTGGCAGTGCTTAAGCCTAGTGACTGACTACCCAAGCACATGGGACTGCACTGAGGGAGAAAGTGGGGAGAACCACATGTTCCCCCTATCCAAAAGTATCTGATAATTCAATTATATCCTCGGAGTATAAGGAGGGCGAGTATATTCAGCAAAGTGTGCAGTTTGGTGAAGCTGTTACTTTACCTTAGATGGACCAAGCACAGGTTCATTTTAAAGCAAAAACTGTTAGTGGATTATTGATACATGGTTTAGCAAGTCATGTGTGATGAAAGCCAATGGCTGGCATACAGTTTAGTAAGTCCTTGTGCAGATAAAGGTTATGGGCCCATCTATGATGCTTATAATCATTTATCTACAGTATATATGTGCATGCCCAATCACCAGTACGTTGTGCCTGTTGATGCATTTGTATCTATATTCTTGCTGCATCTTGCCACTCAATTACCCATTTACTCCAGAAAGAACCTACTGGTATAATCAGTACTGGTCGCCCCCTGGTAATTTAACATTTGTATATCATTCCTCGCCCTATTTTGAGTTGTATTCCTCTACAGAAGGTCACAGATGAACAGAAGTTAAGGATGGACGTTCCTTTATCCTAACTATCTAGGCATTCATGTGGGTACCACTGTAGCCCCTCCTTTAATTAGCCCCCTCTTTTTCTGATGCATAGGCTGTGTGTCTACCCTGATGTGTGGATATGACAATGTACACAAAATTACACATAAACATACCCTGATGAGAACAATATCTGCAGCTTCAATGGCCACATCAGTTCCTGTCCCGATGGCGATACCGATATCAGCTCTGGCCAATGCTGGGGAGTCATTGACACCATCACCCACCATGGCGACTCTCTTCCCCTCATTCTGCAGTGCCTGGACTTTGGCTACCTTGTGAGAGGGAAGAACTTCTGCAAACACCTTTCGGATCCCAACCTATGATAAACCATAAGTTAAATATATTTTTTATCACCATAACATACATGTGGATTCAACAGTCAAGCTATGAAAATAAGTTTACCAGTAACTCCATGTACAATATACATCTGTTAGAATGGGTCATCTATTTAACATCTACTAAATTGTAAGCTCTCACGAGCAGGGACCTCCGAACCCCCCTGTACTGAAATTGTATTGTTAACTGTTATTGTCTCCCTCCATTTCGTAAAGCGCTGTGCAAACTGTTGGCGTTATATAACACCTGAACAATAATTATAATAATAATAATCTGTCAATACCTGGGTAGCAATAGCTTTGGCGGTCTTCCGGTTATCACCTGTTATAAGTACAACATCCACTCCCATAGCCATTAAAGTGTGCACAGCAAGGGCGGCTTCCTGCTTCACAGTGTCTGCAATTGCAATCATTCCGCACAATGCACCTATAAGGAAGAACAGATTGTTATATCGCCCCTAATGTAATTATCTGATAATAATGACCACAGAGTACACTCACAAACAGAGGAGAAGACATACAGGCTTTTCTTCAAAATGTATTTTTAAAGGAAAACAATAACTGTTTTGCATCACAATTATTTTACATTTTTTACAGTTTCTTTTTTTTTAAAGTTACTGTTTCGTTACTACTGCATTTTGTTTTTACTGTTGACGCAGAATCTTTTTTTTTTACAGATATTTGCAAACCCACAAATTATGTGTTTTCTATAAAGAGTCATAGGAAGCTGTGTACCTTCAGGCTATCTCTGTCTGACTGATACTTCACAAAGAGCTGTCTGTACATAGTAGGATGGTAGGCAAGCAAACAGAGTAGTGTGGGGGAGAAGTCAGTGCTCCGACACACTCACTTGTTTGTGTAAATTTCAGATTTAGCTACTGAGCTCTGTAATCAGCAAGCTTTTTTCAGCAAAGCAGATAAAGAGAGACTGGAAAACACATAAAAAGGAACAAAGAGCTCCAACTGCTGGCTGTAAATGAGAACACAAACTATTCAACCACAATATTCTGTATTTTCCTAGAAAAAAAAATAAAAAATAAAGAAAATACTTATAAAAATATTTATAAATTTCTTTCAGTCCTGACTATAATAAAGAAACATGCAAAACCACTATATATTCATTTTAAAGTACAGTATGTATACAGCCAAAAGCTGATTTAATCTCGGATAGAGTTGGATAGAGGTTTTTTTTTGCCCAGAGCCGAATTAGAGATTATTGCTTTTACTTCCTGTCCTGTACACACAACAGAAAGTGAGGGAAAATCCTCACACAACAGAAAGTGAGGGAAGTCCCCATTTACAGTTGTCTCTTCCAGTTCTGGCTACAACGCAAAATGTTTTCTCTCACTTCCAGTCCTAGTGACAGTGTTTGTCATAATAAGATAGTGAATCTGTCTAACAGCGACAGAGACCGTATTGAAAACCTGACAGGGGTTCGTCACCACATCAACCAAAAAAAAAAAGTTTTGGCTTTAGATACGCTTTAAATTACGCACACCATTTAGTACATGCAAGAAAAAAGTCCTTCTAAAACTAGTAATAGGTAATCCAGCGTTAATACTTTTTGATCATTTTGGTGCCTTGAACCAACCAAGGGGCATATTTATAAAGCAGTGAATGTGACTTTCCCCAAAGATTCACTGACACTTAAACACATACATCAGGAAGTTTCACCTGCAGTGGATGTTTGATGAATGTCAGATTAAAGTGTATAGTAAGTGACATTTTTTTTTCTAGTTTTGAATAGTGTGGGGAAGAATTAGAACCAGTCAGGTTTTTTTCTCCAATCTAGGGGTCCGTTGGAGAGATTCACTCTCACTTCCTGGCCTTCTGACACCTTTATACTAGGCAGGAAGTGAATGCAACGCTCCAACAGCAACATAGACATAATTAAAATGCTTTTCTCTGGTAGAGAAGGCTAGAACCCCTAGACGGCTAGAATTTCTGTTTGTGTCACTGTTGCCGATTTTCTTTCAATTCTTATATGGTGGAAACTTGGTCAGCAGGACAGGAAGTGAGGGTAAATCTCTCTAGCAAACCCCCACATAGCAGTAAGAAACTGACAGAAGTTCTGATTCTTTCCAAAAAAAAAAAAATGGCTTCACATACACTTTAACTGCTTTATAAATATGTCTCGAAATGTTTCTCTGAGGTTTACCCACTGCCCTTTAGGAATGCCATTGCCAGATTGCAAAATGGTGTATCTATACAAGCACCTGGCATATGGCTTTTCACAAAGGGTCGTTGCTGGCAAACACATCTGCCCACATCATACCAAATTGCTGGTCCAGCCTTTGCATAGGTTCAGTACCGACTAGTCTTCAGTTTACTCTGTGACCTGAACCTATGGCCTGCAACCTTGATTGTCTTCTCTGTTACCACCCCAGTTTCCTTAACTGACCTGCCCTTATCTTCATCTGTCGCTACCCCAACCTAGAACCTCAACTATGCTCTTGCCTACTAATTCTGTGCTACATTTGTTACCCACTGCTGACCCCGGCCTTCACATTCGACTACGCCTCTGAGATCTGAATTCTGCTCTGCACCTGCCAGTTGCCTATCAGAACATGTTTTGTGACAACATGGTTGTCTGCTTCTCCAGTACCATGCTGCTCATTGGCTGACCTAGCCTTATCAACCTCTACATACAACTGTAATTCTGTCTGGTAAATACAGTCTGGTTGCATCTTAGTCTGCGCTAGTTCCAGCCAGCCACAATACCCTTGTTGCACTTTGTACCCTTGTGCCACCTGTCCTTGGAGGCTTGGCCTGGAGGTGTAAAAGAGGCTAACTTTGACCTCCTAATCAGGTACTTGACACAGCCCTACCACCCTGCATATCCCAGGAAAAAAGCACAATGAGTAGTTCAGAACAAATTGAGTACATCTACCTCCTCATGTATCACTTCCCCCTCCCTTTTAGATTGTAAGCCCTCAGGGGCAGGGCCCTCCTTACCATAATGTCTTCAATTGTATTGTGATTGTAATGTCTTCCTTATATTCTAAAGCGTTGCACAAACTGTTGGCACTATATAAATCCTGTACAATAATAATAATACATCTCATTGATTTTACTAACCAGCCTATTGAGACATTGCACTGCTACACTCGCACACAGCAACATGAAGTCATGCAGTCTAAATGTTTACAGAATATACCTAAAATTTGTATACTAAAATACGTCAAAGTTTAATAAAAGAAAAAACACTAATCTGAGCTAACATTAATTTAGTAGGCAACAAATGCATCAGGCAAACTCAGTGTAATAAAGTATAAAGCTTGTGCTTTAGAACAGCCATACTGCATGTTTAATGTCAGGTGGAAGAGCAAAAACAATCTTGTTCCTCATTACCATCTATAGCAACCAGCACTGCTGTCTGTCCTTTCATTTCATGGCTAGTCATGGCATCATCTACATCATGGGAAATATGAAGTCCATTGCGTTTCATCCATTCCCGGTTCCCAATTAATACAGCGTGAGGGATTGGGGCACTGGCACCTGCAGTTCCCAGAAAAGAAATAGTAATTAGAGGTGCACCGAAAAGAAAATTTTAAAACCCCGAAATGAAAAAAAATGTCGGACCGAAACACACTCCCCTTCCTGACATGCCGTCACAGGAGGCTGAGCGAGTGGTGCGGGGAGAGCAGCTCAATCTGACAACTGACTCCTCCCGCGCACTGCCAGGCGACCTACTGCGACAGCTGACAGCTGTCACCGCCCACACACCGCTCTCCTGATCTGTGATAGGAGCCTGAGCGTTGCGGGGAGGAGAGACGCCGGCCACTCACAGCTTTCTCCTCCCACAGCGCTCGGCTGCCTGTGACATTTTCTCTCCTCCCCGCTGGGCGCTGCTCTGTGTCGGAGAGAAAGCAGAGATGCACCGCTATTTCGGCAGAAAATGCCACTTTCAGCATTTTGCCAAAAGTGCCATTTTCGTCCAATGTGTTTCGGCGGCCGATATATCGGTGCATCCCTAATAGTAATCATTAGTGATTGGAAGTGGACATTACGGAAAGAAATGCATTTTAAAATGTAGCTCAATTTATCTCAATTGAATAGTCTATAGCTGGATACCGTTAGCTTACAAATGTGTGTGTACATACATCTGCATCTCAGGTTGTGCATCTAAACACTGTGCAAGGAATGGAGGAATTAGAAACAACAGCATAGGAGAGATATCAAAGACCAGTAGCAGTGTTTTTTAGTATTATTTTCACGATGACCTTTCAATACAATTACTGTGTAAGTCTGGGTTAGAATCAGTCCACCCAAGAGTGGTTTGCTTTTTTATAGATGGAGCCTGGTGTGCGGAGTTGGAGCTTTTCTTTATATATGTCTGATACTCCTACAATGAGGTTTTGCTCCCATGATTTCTAGGGTTGTACAGATACCAAGTACAGTACTCGGTACAAGTACGAGTACATGTACCGATACTTTTGAGCTCCAAGACTAGACTAGAGAAAATTTCAAAAATTAGTAGGCAGCTGTCATTTGTAAGGAGCACACGGAGCGCCTGGGATTTGTACATCTCTGTTTTAATGTACCGTTTTGTTTTTATAAATATAAATAAAGGGATGCACAGATACCAGTTTTGTGAGTACGAGTACTGGTACTTGCCGAGTACTTACAAGTACGAGTACTGATACATTTTTGTTTATTGTCATGTTACAGTTTTTCTAAAACAATACAGACTAATTATTTCAGGGCAGTGGTGGAGTGCCAGAGCCAGGTCCCAGCTGCAACTGCTGCAACCCTGGTAGTTCTCATGAAAATGCCAAGTATCTGCATTGGTACTCGAAATGTCCGGGTTCCAGTGCTTCCTGTTACTTTCTTCATAATATAAAATAAATAACAGGAAGTATAGGAATCCCTCACAATGGTCACAGCAGGTGTGTAGACCCCCAGGACCCAGTGTGAGTACATTTATTTAAAAAATGAGATGTAGAGCTGGCAATACCAAAATGATCTTGTGAGTAAACCTTAGTATTTAGGATTTAAAAACATGCCTTGTAATTCAGGTGTAATGATCAAGCTGTTATTATCCTGTGATCCACTCTTGTAAACGTTGTACTCATTCTGTCCCTCTTCGCTCTGCACCAGGACACTCTCCACATTGTTCACTTTGCAGCTGATCCCACAGCCAGGAACAGCCTGGAAATCTGAACAATAACCCAGAGATGCTGTGCCAAGCTCCTAGAAATACACAATTATGAAGATTCTCAATAAAGAAACCTATAATCCTGCAGCCTTATTGTCCGACATTATTAAGAGAGCCACCTTAACAGCTCTGAACACAAAAAAGAGGTGATTTTTTTCAGTACTATAATCAGTTATGGAAAATACATTTTAAAAAAGTTGAATTTATTTAGTAAGCCATTTTTCTAAAAGCGACTTAAACCAGTTATATAGAAATTACCGTTTCAAGAAAAGAGGACCCTATACAAACCCAGTTATATAGAAATTACTAGGGATGCACCGATATCGGTATTTTGGTACCGAGTACTGATATTTTTCTTTCGCTACTCGCCAATACTAAATACAGAGTAGCGGAAGTCCCATTCAGAAAGCCAGGCGGCGTGTAATGACTCGCCACCTGGCTTCCTGATTAGCCGGGAAGCCGGGCAGCTTGTGTAAAGACTCGCCACCCAGCTTCCCGATTAACAAGGAAGCCGCCCCATGCTTCTCGTCACTATGTGACGAGAAAGCATGGAGCCGGTTTGCTGGCCAATCATGGAAGCCGGGCGCCGTGTAATGACGCGAGGGCTAGGCATCGGAGCATTTAAGGGCGACTACAAGTACTCGCCCAAATTCTCGGTATCAGCAAAGATATCGATACTAGTATCGGTATTGGTGCATCCCTAGAAATGACCAGTTCAAGAAAAGAGGACCCTATACAAACCCAGTTATGTAGAAATTATAATTTCAAGAAAAGAGTACCCTATACAATTGTGTACAGCCATCATTACCTCTATCTATTCCAATTACCATCTGTACTTTTAAAACTTGCGATCTGTGCAATCCAACTAGAGAGACGATGTTTGGTCAGAATGTTATGCTCTTGTAACGGTCTTCAGAGTTTTCTAAGAGGACTCTTCTGGTGGCACAAGTTAAAACCAAATTTTCCCTCCGGTGCATGGCATCCATCACTTGAGGGAGCAGGTTCTCCAACAAGAATTACTGCACATAAATGCTATGCCTTGCTAAGTACATCTAGAGATGGACTCTCACTACGACCAATGGCATACATCAAACCTATAGAAACTTGTCACTAAAATTTCCATTGCCAATCTTCTGGAAATGCTGCAATCATTAGCTTTCTGAGTCACCCATTTGGAAAAGAATGCAGACCAGGAGACCTGACTTCTTTTGGACTTTACTGGATGTTCCAGGTCAGTGGTGCAGAAAGTATTTTGAATCGAGAAAGGGCCAATGAAGTAGATTAATAATGGCAGCCCCTGTTTCAATCATGACAGATTTCCTTTAAAAACCAAACCTTCACCTTGTAGTGATGTAAATCTAAATGAATACAGTAGCATTTTTGTTCGTGAACAACAGTCTTTCCTTCATGTTAGAATTTGTGGTAGGTCAAATTTCAGTACCTCTTTGCAGTATTTAGCAACAGCCACTCCAAGGGGGTGTTCACTGCTGGCCTCGGCTGTCCCCACAACTGCGAGCATCCTTTTCAGGGGCATCCGTGACACATCACAAAGCAACAGCACTCTCATAACCTTGGGGACCCCGTGCGTTATTGTGCCTGTTTTATCAAACATCACTATGTTTATCTGTAACAAGAAACATAATAACACTTTTCAAGTCATTGTGGCTTCATGTCATGATGTTGCTCATTCGTGACATTGTGCATTGTTTGTAGCCAACTTACAAAATACATTAGGCTCAATTCACAGATCTAACACTCCAGGATAAGCATACTATTTTCAATAAAATTACGCTTATTTCCTGCTGATTCCAATGAGATTTGAAAATTTCAGTCACATGGCTAAGTTAATCCTTGTGTTAAAGTTCTGTGAATTGAGCCTATTGTCTATAAATGTGTGTAGAATGACAAGACTTTTTGTTCATCAGGTCAAACTAATTTAAGTTAATTTTCTAGTGCAGACATGAAAATGAAAGAGGAAACATGCTTGGTTCAAGTAAAATCAACATTTCTTACTTCAGGTGTTGACACGTCTAAGGCAAGAGAAATAAATGTACTGAATGTGTTCATTTGACTTCAGGTACCACATTGGACAACATCTTGCTGCCTTGTGTTGGGTGGCTGGGTCTGTCTTCCAGTGGATATATTGGGTGGCTGGGTGGGTCTATATTCTAGTGGATATATTGGGTGTCAAGGTTTGCCTTCTAGTGGATATATTGGGGTAGCTGGGTTTGTCTTCTAGTGGATATGTTGGGTGGTTGGGTCTGCCTTCTCGTAGATATGTTGGGTGGCTGGGTCTGCCTTCTAGTGGGTATTTTCGGCGGCTTGAGCTGTCTATTAGTGGATATGTTGAGCCTGCCTGCCTTTTAATGGATATGTTGGGTTGCTGGGTTTGTCTTCTACTGGATATGTTGGGTAGTTGGGTCTGTCTTCTAGTGGATATGTTGGGTGGCTGGGTCTGTCTTCTTGTAGGTATGTTGGGTGGCTGAGCATCTCGTCTAGTGGATATGTTGCAGCCTGTTAAAGTGTTAAAGCCAAAACTGTTTTTTTTTTAGTTTTGTATAGTTGGAACCTTTATTAGATTTGCATTGCTATGTTATTCACCCTTTCTACATCTCTTAGAGATCATGTCACCGGGAAAAGCCCTCAGGAGGCTGTGCAGGGTCTGATTAGGGCTGTACGCAGTCTGACCAGGGATGTGCAGGGTTTCCCCTGTGTGGGTGGTTGCAGTTCTCACCAGAGTTGTGCGGGTGGGTGTGGGTCTCACCAGGGCAATGCAGGCGGGTGAGGGACTCCCCAGTGCTGTGCCAGGTCTCACCATGGCTGTGCGGGAGTGGGGGCAGGCGGAGGGAAGGAGGAGGAGAAGGAGATGTTCAGCTGGATAGTGCTGTAAACAGGCACCAGGAGGTCCCCACAAGGCTGCCATGAGGTACCCAGCAAGCGCAGGACCTTACAGCAGCCGCTTGTGTTTGAAAATGTAAAGCACCGGTATTTCTTACATTTCTAGTTTTTCCTTTGGAGCAGGATTATGCACAGGACTCTAAAGGGAGCTTCTATTTTACAGAATGACTTGCAAGGGACAGATTGGGGCATTAGCATAAAATGTACCACCCACGCTATGAAATCTTTAACCCTTTATTAGAATGGATAGTCCTGCAAATCTAGTTTACAAACATAATAAAAAATGTCTGCCAGACAGGGTTAATTATGGTAAACACAACTCCTCACCCCCTTCATTAACATTACATAGAAAGGGAAACCTACGTAAGATTTTTAGGTTTTGTAGTTTTCAGAATTTAGGAAGTAAAAAGGGAAGCATTGATTTGTACATATTTTTTAAAGTTATGTGAATTGAACATGTAACAAATATAAAGTAGGTGCCATCCCAACTTGGCTGCAAAAATGGAAATACACTTTAAAATACAATTTAATCTATAAATAGTTTATGTCTGACATACAAATCTAAACTAATTTGTCTGTATTGACCAACAACAGCCTTTCAGAATATCTCTATCTGTTATTTTCCACTGCACATACAGATCTTATTTCAGATACCTTGAGACTAAAAAAGAAAACAAAGTAAGCATGTCCTAACCAATTACAATTATACAGAAAGCTCTACTGTGGCAGAAACCAACCTTGTGTGCCATTTCTAGCGGTTCTCCTCCTTTGATGAGGATGCCATTTTGTGCAGCAACTCCAGTACCCACCATGACAGCCGTAGGTGTAGCCAGGCCCAGAGCACAAGGACAGGCAATAGACAGCACAGTGATGGAAGTCTGAAACGCCACCCGTATGATCACTTCAGCCTTAGACATCGTTTTGCTGTAACCCTGAAAGTAGATGTAAAGCAAAACATTAAAATAATACAGAAACATAACATTCTCTAGAGGCTGATTAGTTTAAGCTTAAAGTACTGTATAGCTAAAGCCAAAACTTTTTTAAAAAACTGCAGAGTAATTAACAGTTAAAACCGCTGTCAGTTTATTTTTGCCATCTATGTTTCACGGCTGTTCGCACTGCAGGAAGAGATGAATATACGGGACAAGCAGGTAGTTTAGTGTCATGGCTTTGTTCATGGGTTATGTTAGTTAGTGTTACGGTCAGGGACTATAGAATATAGGTAGATTTTATAATGTGGGGCATTTACACCTCTGTATGACAGGTGCAGTGTGTTTTACAAGCATTATCATTCATTCCTCTAGATCAGGTGTCTCAAAGTACCGGCCCGCAGGCCAATTCCGGCCCGCAGGCAGCTGACAAGTCAGGCACGCAGTCACGAACCTCGTACTTTACTTGGGGGAGCAGCTACATGGTTTGCATATCTGTCGGATGCAGACCGCATAGCTGCTCCTGGCAGTGTCGGCACTCAGTTCCTTTTGGCAGGAGCTGACACAGCCTTCACTGAGCGCCAGCCAAAAGGATAGATTAGTAATGTCTGCACCAGCCTAAGGTTCAGACTTTACTAATCTTTACTAATCAACCACTGGATCTCCTTGCCTCCCCCCTGCAAAAATGTAGGCAGGTGAGGGGGCTCTTTCTTTTATTTTATGTGGGTGTGGGGGGTGTATTGTTGTGTATTAGTGTGTGTGTATTAGTGTGTGTGTTTGTATTTCTGTATGTGTGTGTATATTAGGCCCCATTCACACTTGTAAGTTTTGTTGCGATTAGAGAATCCTGCATCAGGAAGTTGTGTTTTCCTGCAGCCGGCTTCCCTAATCTGGGAAGTACTTCACCATTAAAGGAGAACTATGACATGAGTGATTTCCACTCACCTCATAGTTCTAAGCCGACCTGTGACAATGAGACTGTCACAGGTCGGCTCAGTAGATCGGGAGGTGAGAGAACACATACCGGGTTCCATCACCTCTTGATCCTGTCACGGCTCTCTGCCGTAGACCTCTGAGCTGGCATCTGTATTTGGGGGAAGTCAACTATGCCCCACATATGACTGACTACCTGGCTTCTGATCAGCAAACTTATAAAAACAAACTTATATTTTATAAGAATGAGGATGGGTATCATATAGACTATTGTGTTTCCATAAAATAAAGTATAATTTCAACTTACCGGAAAATATTTGATTATGATATCAAAATTCACAAACCCAACTGTGATCCAGGCAATCAGTGTGACAATGGAGGTGATAATTATGAAAGGAACAAAATATCCACTGATTTTATCAGCCAGCTGCTGGATAGGTGCCTGAAACATAGAAGTGAATGTATGAGAAGTGATTAAAACATCACCCCAAATGTACTCATTGTCTATTCATCTAATACAGCATAGTCTATCCTTACCTTGGACATCTGAGCTTCTTCCACTAACTTCACAATTTGTGCCAAGGTGGTGTCAGAGCCCACATGAGTTGCCTCAACCAGCACAGAGCCATGAGCATTAATGGACCCAGCAATAACAATGCTGCCTGGCCTTTTCCTGACAGGCATAGGCTCTCCTAGATAACATAGAAATGAGAAAAATTCGGGGATATGTAAGATTTCCATTCTCATTACCATCTTATATTCAGGACTTTTCTGATCTGATGGTATGTAGTACACTATAACCTAGGACACTGTATTTAAAGGGAATATATAATGGCAATTATATTTTACCTTTTTAAATGTATGTTTCATGTATAAAATTATATTTAATATAATTTCTTTAATTTGTTTACATCTGAACTGCTTTTATTCCAAAGCAAGTCATGGTGAAAGTCAAAGCGACTCAGAACAGCATTAAGCAACTCAGAAGTAGCTCAAAATACCCTTGTGCTCTATGATGTCAGAAGAAGCAAAACAAAGCAACTCAGAAGCAACTGAAAGCGTAGTGCATTTGAGCCCATTTCCACCTTTACATTTAAAGCATTTGAGCTTTTAAACATCTGAAATGGGTGCTTCCAAGTTGTCTTGTTTGCAGTCCATACTGGTGGCCAAAACATCCCTGCTCACTGTATGACTGCCTCTGTCTGAGAATCCATAGAGCTCCATAGAGGGAGGAGGAGCAGGGAGGGTGGCCCACCTCTGACTCATTTAGCCGCGTGTTAAACAACAATAGATCTGGTTATATCAGGCTATTTAGCCTATACGAAATGTCTCAGCAGAAGTCTTAAACAACTGCCACCAGTGCACCATCTGCTGGCTGCAAGATGGAAATATGAAATAGTTTTTTCTTATTTCTTAGCCTAATAAAAAATAGAATATATACAAAAACATGATAGAAACCCTTTGTGTTACTTGCAGATCTTCCCAGGAGGTCACACTTAATGCTGGTTGTTCTGAAGCTAAACAACTATTCTTTAAATTGGCCGAGATGTTGATGATTATAAACCACTGTACTCTGTATGGATAAGATATAGATGTTTTTTCATCACCAGCTAGGTTCATGACACTCCTGTTACATGCGATTTCTATTCTAACCTCATTATGTGTACATCTCTATACCAGCTGACTTTTCACATTTGATGACGGCAGTCACTACTTTGTGACATTGTCATTTGTATGTACTGAAAGTCATAAACTAAATACACCATCGGAGACTAGCTAACTAAAGTAAAGTGAGATAAGATTGGCAGGCGTGGGGGTTCAGTGTTGGCAGAGAATGTTATGAGGAAGGGAATGGCATGGTACCTTTGTCTGGTGTCCCTCCCAGCTCAGTGACCCCGTCCAGCTTCTGGCAACCAGTGATGTCCGTCAGCTGGGTGGGCTGCCAGCCACAGCATCACAGGCTGCTAAGAGCTCTTAGCAACATAGGACACTCTGTCCCAAAAGGGTGCACACCTGCCACCCCCCCCATGTGACCCAATGAGATGCTGCCTAAGGGACCGGTATAGGGACGGCCCTTGTAATGGCAACATGCAACATTTAAAAGTTTCTTATTAGCAACTTCAAGTATTGTATGGACAGTCAAAAGTGATAATAAACACACATTTTATAGATGGAACTATTTCCTCATCTACAATAAAGTACTGGATTTATCAAGCGGGCTTTATATTTCTTTCACGCGTATCTCTGCTTAGAATATTCTCCTAACATGCACTATGTTGCTATTCATCCTTTAGCTGCGGTTCATTAGACAATTACCTGTGATAAGAGATTCATCTGCCATAGACGTCCCTTCAATTACTTTTCCATCAACTGGAAACTTGCCTCCAGGCACAACCTTTACGATATCTCCTCTCTGTACCAATTCTACATCCACCTGCTCCTCCCTGTAACACCACGTGAAGTGGAAGCACAAACAAGCAATCTTTAGTCAGACATACAGAATGCATGTTAATACTATCAGTGGCAATAAAGCAAAATGTCAAATGGCTTCTCTGAGATATAATCATATATTTTACACTTATTAAGTGCAGAGTTGTGGATTTTTTTTATCACTATGTTGAAAATTCCACTTTCAAGAACTAAATACTTCCCATTAAAGGAGAGACGCCGCAGCCGGAGCGGATCCCGACTTAGACGACGGGATCCGCCCAGCTGCGTGAGTGACAGCTGGCTCTGTCTATCTAGAGGCAGAGCCAGCTGTACCCGCCCCCTCCCCCATCCGTTCCGCCAGTCAGCGCTGGCAGATTGGAGCGGGGAGAGGGGAATCCAGCCCCTCCCCCTGTCACGGCAGAGAGCCGTGACAGGATCGAGAGGTGAGCGAACCCGGTATGTGTTCGCTCACCTCCCGATCTACTGAGCCGACCTGTGACAGTCTCATTGTCACAGGTCGGCTAGAACTATGAGGTGAGTGGAAATCACTCATCTCATAGTTCTCCTTTAAATTTTAGCCATAACAGCATGTACAGTTAGAAAGCAAATTGCATTACCTTATGACTGAGAAATTTTGTTCAAGGGTCACAACAGTCGCCTCCGTAGCTTGCAGAGATATGAGCTTAGCTAGAGCCTCCGACGTTTTACCCTACAACATAAACCGCCATATGACTACAATTTTTCAGGTGTATATAAAAATACTAGCAATAAAAGTC